ATATGAAATAAGAAATTATCATTTCATTTGTATCACAATAAGATAAATTGATGACTAGTAAAGTTTAAGTTATGTGAATATTTCGATAATGTAATGAGAAGATGAAGATTATCAGAACTACATGATATATTAGCGCAATACATTTCGAACAATCTGATCACACATAATATACTTGTTAAAAACATTTATATATAAAAATAAAAGGTCAACTAGACTGGGAATGGAGGGTAAGAATAGACAAGGATGATAATAATAAACATAATGTGAAAACAATTTGACACCTAATCACTCTGGCTAGTAAGCTAATATTACCAGGGTAGTTTTAAAGAGAGAACAAACTGTTTTTGAATACACAAAGGGGGGTTGAATTTTTGTATGGCTAAGGCTTCAATAAACCTTAGTATACGCCCTTTTACACTTTTAAACACCACAAAAGCCGAGTTTAGATCAATCTTACCTAGTTTAGACTATTGTTAACGTTGATTGGATGACCTATTCAGTGTATAATGAACTCGGAGAACCATGTACCTATTTATATTCGATAATTTTGATGTTTGATTATAATTCCTTGAAAAAGCTTGGACCAGATTGCCAGGCGAAACGTTGGATTTAATTTAAAAAATTCATTCGCTGAGATTTTACAAATATATTATTCCTATTTAATGTCTTACTTCAACTCGGCGCTCAAATACTGTAAAACTATTCGTTCTAATTTAGACGAGAGTTCTTATAAATCTTATGGTGTGTTTCGATTATATGTTTAGCAATAGAGGATGATGGATGTTTATTCTCTACTCTTATTGGGTCATTCGACTGTATTTGTTTTTGCAGCCATTTTGTGAATATACTTGCAATGTGTTTTGTTGTTGTTGTTGTTGTTGCTAAAATGATAATACTGTTTTCAAATAGTAGAGTACTGTTTACTAGACATTTCATGTCTGACCTTTAAATACTATTTAATGGAATTAGTGATACTTTTTATGATCTATTAAGTAGAATAATAAAAGATTTGTAAGGAATTTCAGAAATTTCATGATTCATATCATGGATCAATCTTAGCTAGATAACTATTGGAAACCAGGGGGCAGTGATAGTCTATTTTGTCATAGTATGGCATTTCTAAACGGTGCGTACTCACGTCCTCGTTACAGATGATTAAAACCATCACTTTCGACTTCACCGAGTGCGCTTAACCTTTAGACCTATCAGTTAGCATCTAATATTGTATATGTTTAACTTCAATCAATTCATGACATTATGAAACCATTTTTTATCTTCGACTGTGGATAACTGTTTCAATACTGCTGAGAATTCTATATTGTACCAGATTATAATATTGAATAAAGCCATTAATAATAATAATACAGACTTCGTTGAACTGAAATAGTCACGACTTCTCATAGTCTACACCATGCATTGATGTTGGCTAGAAAACCGTCGAATATTATAACTAATCTTTTTCACTGTGCATAACCGGTCCCGATAATCAGCGTTTTTATGAATTGACACTATGTTTTCATACGATTTGAGTAGGTTTCTCTCAAACGCCATCTTCATTGAAAGATGGAATGGATTGGTAAGCGGTTAATCGTGAGATGCGTCACATGCAATCTTTAAACGTCAGTTCCTTGACTTTACAAATTGACAAATGATAATTTCCACACAAACTATGTTTACACTCATAATCACTCTAATGCTTGCAAAACTCTAAAAAGAAATGCTTTTAAATCACTCATTATTGCATACTTTTCTTCTAGTCATGTTTCATAAAAATGCAACATACGTGCACCAGAAAGTTGCTGACAGTAAATTAAACTATTTCTAACCGATAACTATTTGAGTATTTGGTTTGGTTGTACCCTCTTAAGATAGAACAGGTATTTTAATGAAAATTTGCGAAACTATCTAGACCTCAGTCGGCGAAGAGATTTTAATACAACTTATTATTATTACTATTATGACCAACGTAATCTTTATTGCAAAAATTCATAACAGGTCAAGTTCAACTGTTATAATTGTAATGCCCGAATTGAGGACCATAGATGTCTTGATTATCATCCCTCGTTGGACCATCTGTATTCACTTTCGTGAAGTTAGATACTAGGGTACAACCAATTCGCAATCCTCTACAGGTTTCAATAATCCTTCAGATAATATTAGACTGTGATGCGTACTATTTTGATGATACCCTCTTCATGACTCACATTTCTCTCACAGTGATGGATGTTCAAAATGAAAGAAACTATACATCGCTTACAATGAGATTTTAATTTCCTATTTGAATTGATAATATTTAGTTGAAAATTTAACCTCTTATTATTAATAACATAAAGCACTTAAGAAACACAACTTCAAGAGAATATCCTAGATAATTATATTAGTGAATCTATAGTTATCAGAATGGGTTTTGTGGAGATTTTAGTAATTTTATAGAGTTGAGATCATGAGTCAATTGAAGCTTGACCACCATCGAAAACCCGGAAGCACCGGATAGCCGTTTTGTACTATTGTGGGACTACTCAGCAGTATGCATCCACGATCCCGCCTCGTGAGATTCCAACCCAGGACCTACCAGTCTTTCGCCAGAGCACTTTGTATTATCGTTTTATATGTTAAGCCCATATGCTTTATTCTAGCTACTGTCCAAGTTAATTCACCTATACATTATGAGTCATATTTTGATCTTATTAATTATTCGCTTACTAACCTTGACTATATTTTTATATGAGCGTATATGTGTACCCTTCGTATCCTATTCATCATATGTCTGTCATTCATTTTTGTATGACTATAAATGTTGACTAACGCTTGCTTAAAATGGGTTGGCTTCCCAGCCGTCTCCAATACTCATTATTTTCGCTTCGCTCTCGAATTGGCTTCCCAGCCATCTCCACTATGCGTCATCTTTGCTTCGCTCGATTACACTTGATCATGTGCCCACAGCTTTCTGGTCTGCATCGATTATCAATAAAAATGTAGTTGCCGGTTCCTTTTGCCTTCTAATTTTATACACCGTTAAGAATGGTCTAATAACGGTTATCGAAATGAACTATTATCGAAGCACGGCACTACAACTTAACCGATAAACCGCTGATCTCACTGGTAGGTCCTGGGTTCGAATCTCGCGAGTATGGGATCGTGGATTCGTACTTCTGAGGAGTCCCATAATAGGACAAAACGGCCGTTCAGTGCTTCCAGGTTTTCCATAGTGATGTGGCTTTAATTGACTCATTATCTCACTTTATAGAATCTATAGTTGTACGACTTTCTTAAACAAACTTGGTAATATTCTCTAGCTCCCCACTAAAAACATTAATGTTTGATAATCTTTTAAATCAAATATCTATTCAATGATTAGTGAAGCTAAGTTACAAAAAATATTCTTCAATTATCTCAGTTACAATCCAATCGTATAGAAATCTTTTTATTTGATCTATTTTTAATAAGAAAAAAGAGGGTGTAAAACACTAGGTTAGTGAATACTTTGATGTTCATGTTTACTAATAGGATGAAGTCATATATATGTGAAATCTTTGAACGAATACTTACAATAAAGTTTTCTTTCATCTAGTTGCTATAGACTTTGAACTGAGCGAATCTATTTATTGTTTTTTTTTTCATGCTTTGAATGAATTACTTTTATATTTGAGTATTATTAAACCTTTACAATATTTGATCACAGTACACTTTAGTGTACTTCAAAAGATTGTCATATACAATTAATATTATGTAATGCAATTTAAACAACACTTTATTTTTTGTTTATTTATGTTGAAAAAGCAATTTTCGATACTAGAAACAATCTTTTGATGAAGCTTTGGAAACAAATATTATGTTAGCAATAACTTTACTCAGAAATGAGTGGAGACAAGTTGTGAAATATTGTAGTGGAATAGCTACTTAAGTTGGTTGTCAAGAAGAAAATATTTTGGCCATAATTAAATAATGAGTTGTCAACACTAAGAAGTAGTCGAGGACATGTAAGCCGTTATCAACTGTAATGGTTGAGAGATATTTTTGTGGATGACCAGCCACTTCGTGTCACTCTATCTTAACTAAGATACCAGTGATTTGAAATAAAGGCTAGAGGTAGTCAAAGCATGATACAGCAGCATCATATAAACTTGAATTGTTAAGAATTCTGTTTTGATAATTTGAAACGTAGATTTCCTATCAAAATGGGATGTATTATTCATGGCTTCTGATGGTATATTGTGTTAAAAAGATAGTGTTGTTATTCCACCCTCATAACGTAAATCTGTCCTTGAAGATCATCATAGTGGACATTAGAGTGTTGAGAAAAAAATCTTTGGCAAGGCTTACATGTTGGTGGCCGAACATAAATTTGTTAGCTTCTTAATGTCAATCGAATGTTTCGTAATTTTCACTTAACTGTAGCATCACTGACCGATAAGTCCTACATAATTTATGTTCGACTGATAATTTCTATCTATCCAGTAATAAAAAAACCATGTATAACAACATATTACACACATAGTTTGATCAGTATATTAGGGGTAAATTCATACTGATGTCTCATTAGGTTTTCTTATTTGGATTAAATTACGTTTTGTTATTAACTTAGTCATTTTTAGATTTAGTTCGCTTTAAGAACCAATGTGCCAGATAATATTGTATGCTAATTTAAAAAACGTTTGTGAGCTTAACTATTCTTTTTTGTAAAATATTAATGTTAATAAAATTAGTTAGGATTGATTGGTTAGACAATAACACCGCTCAGTGGTCTATTGGTTAAGTGCTCGCGCGCGAGACTGGTAGGTCCTGCGGTTCGAATGGCGCGAGGTGGGATCGTGGATACACACTACTGAGGAGTCCCACAATAGAACGAAACGACCATCAACCAGTACTTCCAAGGTTTCCATGGTGGTCTAACTTCAATTGACTCATGATCTCAACTATGTAAAATAAGATTAATTTACTAGATAAACGTAGAAATTTATTAATACAGTTTATTATTATCATTATTATCATTATCATAGCTAAATGTTTCTGCAGCAAATCGTCATGCACATTATTATTCATTTAATCAACAACAACAAAATAATACTGAACAAAAACCGAATGAAACAGATCAAAATGCCTTGGGTTCAAATCATGTAACAGTCAATAAGAAATCTCATTTACCATCTGTTGATGATGTATCAACAACTGTAAAACCCATAGAAACAAACAATAATAAACATATTTCTGAAATGAAACAAAATAAAATTCCTTCAATGGATAATCAAGGATTATCATCATTGGATAAAGATATACATCTTCATCATACTAATCATGATAATAATAATAATAATGATAAATTGAATTTAAATAATTATACTATAGGATCTATTACAGAAATAAATTATGATGGTTGTGAATCACAGGTGAATTATCCACCGAAACATGAAGCTAAACAAAATAGTATTATAACAATGTGAGTTTCTTTGTATTATATTATGTTTTTGTGTCAGTCAGTTTGTGTTGGTAATATCTATACTGAACAAACCCTTACTGATTGTTGGGTTTAAACGTTTGATTTATTAAAAGAAACCCAGACTCAAACATTATATCAATAAGCCTTTTCAACTTTATGGATATTAATATCCATCCTACGGAATGTATAAATTAAATGAGATTTCATATACATGTTTCTATTATACGCTTTAAAGTTAGTACATTTTTATGGTAAGTAGATAAATAATAAATAAAAGTAAATTTCATACAAACGAATCTATTAAGATAGACTTTAGAAACATTTGTGAAATTACTTACTTACGCCTGTTGACCCTCGTGGAGGAGCATAGGCCGCTTACCAGCATTTTCCATTCAACCCTGTCCTGGGAAATCCTTTCCAGTTCGTTCCAGTTGTTATTCATCCTTTTCATATCTGCTTCTATTTCGATTCATGAAATTAAGTAGCCTGTTTTTGTGTTAAAATAATAATAAACAGAGGAATTAATAAAACATTGGTAAAAAAGAATGAAAAGTCTTTACAGAAGGAGTTCATCATCCAGTATGAACGTCCAATATCTAAAAATATCTAAGCCCTCAAATGCCCTGGTACGGCCGAGAGTGAGGAGAGTTCGCTCTCCCTCTCGAAATGTTCTCACATGGCCACGTGTATATAGCCTCTACCAAGGAAGTCCTACTAACTGCCTTCTCGTGGACCGGTGTTGTTTGAGGGGACGATAAGCAAATGTCTGGCGCTTTAACCAGGTTGGTGAACACGTAAAGTCCACCTAGGGAAGTTGGAAAACCCTGATTCCAAACCAATGTTTCACATGGCCTCCAGAATCATGACGTATGAACCTATCGTTGGTCACCGGCTACCATGGGACTGCATCTCCTCACGATGCTCCACTGCCTTGTGGATCAGACCTCTGGATGTGGTCCCCTAAGAAAACCAGCTGCTTCGGTTTGGGTACCTGTGCAGTATCACAGCCCTTATACAAATCGAATGAGATTTGTGTGGCGCATATATATCTGGTGCTTCATTGTACCAATAATTATGTATTTAAATAAAATAAAATAAAAAATATCTAAATCATAGACTAGTTTTGAACCATATCTTCTAATAAAAAATTCCCGTCATGATTTTAAATCTTTTAGGAATTCCAACTGACAGAATTACAGCTTTTAACATAGTTTAGACTGGTAGTCAAGTTCTGTGTGGTTCAGTGCTTTGTTTTGTTATAATCATCTTTACTACTTTATTAAATGTCTATCGATTCTGATTAGTATCAGCCTAAATACTTAACAAAAGTTTAGTTTCTAAACAAATTTGTATACTTTGTGCTTCATTAGCTATCGTAATATGATAGTATGGATGTAGATAGCTGTTCATTCACATGTTCCAATAACTCCACTCGACAAAGTCTCTAAACATCGTAACTTGTCTACCTATTTCCAATAAAAATCTGAAGTTGAACTTCAGCATTTTTAACTTAGCACTTACGTCAATTCAAACATCACTCCAAAGATATCTATAAATTACATGGAAACAAATTCATTAAGTTTGATATGTCCATTAACTACACTTCGGGTTTGTGACGTAATACAAGTCATGCTGATACTCACCCCATGGTAAGAAACTTAAAGTGTTGTCTAAATGATGCACAGACATCAATGAAAACAATTCTCAGTAATAAAACATGAATGTGTTGGATGTTTTAACTGGTTACAGAAGATCTCTTATCTCTTTGTATGACATTTACCACGAAGTGTAACACCTAAGACTATATTGCTATCACTAAATGATTCATTCATCATGTTCATTGGTCGAGAATATTTGAAGTTTATGTACATACATAAACATTAGAATAAATGTACTTTAACATGTCTAACTATTAATTCAGCCTCACAGATATGTTTGCTAATTAAACATCAAAGTTTACATACTTTGGATGATTAGTATACGGTTAGATTCATCACTAGATAAATAAAATATCAGTTATTCTACTAGACTTTTTCAAATATATTCATAATTATTCTTGGGATTATTACCATTAATATTACGGTAGAAAATGCTAGATTTAGATGAAACAAGGACAAACTCAACAGGATATGGTTAATTTTATTTAGTTCGTGGATTTTCGTCATTTGCTGCTCACAACCTAGCAACAGTATTATCATTTTGTAGAGACTGAGAACACAAGTGCGAACATTCAAATGTATTTGAATACGAAATCACAGTATCTCAATAAAATCTGAGAACCATACAATAAACATTTCATTTGCTAACTGTCAATCATTTGTCTCAGATTTCATTGTTTCTTTCATTTCCACATCAATCATTCTCTGTTCTCGTCCTCTTTTCTTCGATCTACTTAACCTTGTGCCACCAGGCATTTCACTTTCGATTGATGATACACACTACTTATATCTGTCGATATCAGTAGCATGCAACACAATATTAGTGAAGATTGAAGAAATAACTATGATGAAAACCATTGTCGATCTCTCATTTCCCTGATAGCTTCTTCTTTATCATTTATAGATCCTTTTGGGCTCCACTCATTTTACTCTGCTGTTCTGTCAAATTTCATGGTTGTCATTACATAGCCTTAATATCAATATTCATTTTCTAGAAATATGTCTCAAAGTGTTTCGAAATGTTCCCTCTGGAACTTTCGCACTTAACTTATAAATATTCTAGACATAAGGTTGTTGAGATTTTTAAATTTCATTTGGTAAGATGTTAAGCGTTCGCATGCGTGACTGAACGTCCTGAGTCCGATTCCCTCATTTAGAGTCTTGGATAGGCACTACTGAGGATTTCTGTACTAGGAAAAAAAGGCCATCCAGTGTTTTCAGGTTTTCAATAATGGTCTAACTTAAATCACTTCAAGATTTAAATGAAATATAAATATTCATCCACGTTTATCGCTTTACACTACTTCTGTATTTGTTGTCGTCATTCTACTAATTTTCACTAATGTTATAAATAATCATTACTAAAGTCACTATAAAGATAAGAAAAGAAAAAATCAAAGATTCACTTATCAGTAGTTTGAAAGAAAGGTAAACAAAAACAGTCCGATAGATAAACAGACAGATCGATAGATCGAAAGATAGAAACATTTCCATTGTTTACATGAAAGTGTTTTCTAAAATCATCTATTTCCTTTCGAAATGTAAAACTGGTTTAAAGGGAACATGTGTGTTATAATTGGATTGGATGAACTCGAAGTTTGACCATAGGTATTGACTTGTCAATATCTAATTATTATTGTTGAATATATATATATATATATATATATATATATATATATATATGTAATCTAATAAGGAATTTTGAACGTGAATTTTGAGTTCATTATAACATTATGCCTATAATCGTGTGAGAAATACTGCTTAACTCAAGGTTAAGATCATTATTAAGTGGTACAATTGAAGACATCATTTAGCTAATGACTGTTCTTTTAAAAGATTTCGATGATCACAATAATACACTAACCGTTTGTAACTTGAGTTAACTTTTGTAGAACTCATTACTACATCTCTTCTGAGTCAAATGATTTGGTATCATTATGTAGAATAATTGAAATCCAGTGCACAATAACACTTTATGCTGGAAATGTTTAGTTGAATTAACAAGATTTTACAATTTAATCGATCTTACACCGTATACTAATCGATTCGTTTGTAATTTCATAACTAGGAACAACAGAATTCCATTGCGCTGAAGTGTTGTTCTCCGCTCCCCATCTTTTAACATTTACCTTGATGACTCCAGTTAGTGAGGAATTGAACCTAGAGCCTTCATTCTCGTGTTCGAACGCTCAATCTCTAAACAACTGACCCAAAATCTACCACAAATCTAACCTCAAATGATGTTTCTAAAAAAATAACTTACATTCATCGAATATCATTGTTAGAATATTGAAAATGAAACACTAAATCATGTATGAAACAAACCATCTTATATGTTGCGTTCATTGTTAGAAATTTACTAAGAATACATCAGGAAAGAAAGTCAAACAGGATACATATCCGTATGTTTGTAGCACATCTGTCCCTAAATGTTTAACACGTATGAAATTTAAAGTATTTTAGAGCACTTTTCCGTTCATTTATGGAGTTAGTGAGACATGTTAGAACATATTTTTCACCGTAAACTTCATTCCAAACTCTAACTTTACTTATTCCATCAGGCAAGTTGGGATAAGCTGCAATGGCGTATTCACAGAAGATTTATGTAACTAGCTTAAGAGGACTAAAATCAAGTTCCCAGTGAAAATCATGTTCTTATATACAACACTCATCCTCTAACCGAACAGAAAATACTCGACAATGTTGAATATTATGTATATGTATCGAACACTGAAAAAAAGGATAGTTAACCTTACACCAAAAATTGTTCGTACTTTTTAAGCACAGATGGATACCGGGTAGCAGTGGAATCAAGGACGCGCATCACTTCGTCCTATTTGGAACTCATCAGCTGGATGTGCCTAATTCTCAGAGTTGATGTTCACTCTCGGACTCGAACCCGGCACCTTTCGCATCAAACGCCATAGCGTTATCCACTCAGCTACTGAATTCTGACGGCCATTTGCTTGTGCAATAGGGTGAAGTTTAAATTCACTTGGTGTTGTTTACTTATATCTTTCCATTGTGACTTCAGGCAATGTTGAGGCAGTCTACACAGGATGAACATATGCCAACAAGTGACTGATCGATTGCAGTCCTAAATAACAATGGGAAGATACAAGTAAATAACATCAAGTGAATTTTTCCGTACTTTTGTTTTTACTAAATTTTCTATCTTATCTAAATCCGTAAGATAGTAAATAATTTATGTATCTTAGATATTATAGTCTAGAAAAATAAAATAAAAAGGTCTAGACATTTTGACAGACAATAAAATAATTTGATGAGTTTTGGCTACACTTGAAAATTATATATGAAATGTAACTGTTAGCTAGTTAATATTTATTATTTACCCCGAATATTACTAGACTTTATTCAACACATAACAATAAGGGGGTTTTTAGTGGAGATTTTTTTAGTAATTTTTTATATAAAGTTGAGATCATAAATCAATTGAAGCCATCCCATCATGGAAAACCTGGAAGCACTGGACGGCCGTTTCGTCCTATTGTGGAACTCCTCAACAGTGTGCATTCACGATCCCGTCTCGCGATGTTCGAACTCATAACCTAACAGTTTTGCGCGCAAACGTTTAACCACTAAACCACTGAGATGACCGGCATCCAACGATGCTAATGTTTAACTTCAATCAATCAATGTTAATTGATGAAATTTTCATGACTGACTGATTCACTATTAATAATCGGTAAATTAAACAATTACTTCCAATCAGTTCATAATTAATCTAATTGATGAATTAATAAGTTGACAATGATATTGCAAGTGTGTAATAAGTTAAATTTAATTAGTTTGTCATTTCAATCAAGATTATTAGACATCACATGTGAATCAATTACTTACTATATAAGTAAAGAATGTAATGGTAAATATATTGGCATGATAAATATATTAACTGGCTTTTTTCTATTAGATACTAGTTGATTTCTAAAAAAAAACATAATTACTGATAGCTTACCATGTACTGACAAATGATTAAAAGATATAATGAAATATACAAATTGATTAATAGTAATAATACTGAAAACTATCATATTATATTGATCAATGAAAAGGAACAAGGTTATTGTTATGCTTTTATATATATATATATATATATATATATATATAGTTGAAATCATGAGTCAATTGAAGCTGGAGCACCATGTTATATTATAAGATTTAGAATTGGGTATATTATTTGATCTATTCAAATAATTTGTTTTCTTATTTTATGTAGTTTAAAAATTGCATTATATCTATTCTATGGTATATTTATTCATTAGCAAAAGGTACTGGGTTGGAGTCCGAGAGTAAACATCAACTCTGAGATGCAGGTGCATCCAGTTGACGAGTCCCAAATAAGACGAAACATGCATCAAACTGGATTCCACTGATAGCCACTATCCATCTTTGCCTACCATGCTTATGACTTTAGGCTATATCAAGGCAATACACACAGTATGCACATATGTCAATTAGAGACTGACCAGTTGCAGTCCTAACACATCGATGGGAAGATTCAAACAAACAATACTAAATGAATTTATTTGTTCATTAGTTAGAACATTACGAGTATTTCTATAGATTTTTATAGATTATCAATATTTTTCACTTCCTAAAAGGATTATTTTTATAAAAGTTTAGTTAAATGTAAAACTAAGATAGTTTTCGAAAATGAATATTTCTTGACTATCGAAGCTGAAGCACACACACACACCGTATTTTATTAACTCTAAAGAAGTAGCTTAAATTAAGTTACGAAACATCAGAAATAAAAATTTTCAACTTATTTGGATATTAAAGATTCCCATTCTACTACTAGGCAACTTAACCAACGAATGAGTGAACATCTACCAGCATGGTTTGGAAAGGGCCAAATAAAAACAACACGCAGTTCTATCTTGGCACATCTAATTGATAGTGGTCATACTGTTGATAAATTGAAATCATTTCAAGTGATCTATCGTATACCTCCATCGTTTCCCAACGGAGTTCGCTCCCGTCTACTTCATATAGCAGAAGCCATAGGGATTCGTACATTCCATCCCAATTTATGTGTACAGAAGAAATTCGTAACCCCCCTATCCCTTCCATGGCCGGATATAACTTAATAATTGACATTATTATTATTTGTAAAAATTTTTTTTTTATTTTTTTATTTTGGTTATCATTTTTTCATAGTTTTAAAGCATGAGTCAATTGAAGCTAGACCACCATGGAAAACCTGGAAACACTGGACGGCCGTTTAGTCCTATTATGGGACTCCTCAGCAGTGCGCATCCACGAACCCGCTCGCGCGAGATTCGAACCCAGGACCTACCAGTTTCGAGCCGAAGCCCTTAACCGTTCCATAATAGGACGAAACGGCCGTCCAGTGTTTCCAGGTTTTCCATGGTGGTCTAGCTTCAATTGACTCATGCTTTAAAACTATGAAAAATACTAAATCTCCACAAAACCCCCTCTGATAATTAATATTATCATTTTTTGTTTAGCAGAGATGGATTTTGTAATTTTCTACCTCTTTCCGTTTGTGTTCTTCACTATCTATTTACTTACATACTTCTTATTACGTAATGATTTTAATGTTTTATGATTACTATTCCAGACTATTTACCCACATTTGACCTCTTAATTCTCAATGTTTAATTATTGATAAGACTTTTGTTATCGTAATTTACTATTCTTACTACTATCAGTACATCTGTCTTTCCACTATCAACTTGTACTTTTAACTATTATTATGCTTGGTAACGTATTTCTATTTCATTGTGATTATTATTGACTCAAATAGCCTTGATTGGTCTAACATTTTTATATAAATATTCATCTATATTAGAGTAAAGCCTGATGACGATCTAATTGAAAACAATTGTTCGCTTACATATGTTGTTCTTATTTGGATATAACAAAAAAATAATTAGTCCCTTTGATAAATTTTGATAGTTGAATAAGAAGACAAAGATTATCATAACTAAGTGATGATAAGTTAGAGCAATACATTTCGAACACATAATATACTTGTTAAGAATATTTATATGTAAAAATAAGAGGTCAACTAGACTATAGATGGGGGGAAAGTAGACAAGGATAATAATAATAATACAAATAATGTGAAAACAATAGCGAAACCTAATCACTATGGCTAATAAGCTAATATTACCAGGGTAGGTTTAAGGAGAGAACAAACTGTTTTTGAATACACAAAGGGGGTTGAATTTTCGTATAGCTAAGGCTTCAATAAACCTTAGTATACGTCCTTTTAAACTTATATACAACACCACAAAAGCCGAGTTTAGATCAATCTTAAGATTTGTTTCGATTATATCCTCTAGAGGATAAACTTCCAGAGTGATTAGGTGTCGAATTGTTTTCACATTATTATTATTATTATTATTATCATCCTTGTCTCCTGTTATCCCCTATTTCTAGTCTAGTTGACCTATTACTTTTATATATAAATGTTCTTAACAAGTATATGATATGTGAGATCAGATTGTTCAAAATGTATTGTACCAATATCTCATTATATAGTTCTGATAATCTTCGTCTTCTTATTACACCATCGAAATATGTTTATTATCAAATCTTTACCTTAATGCTCAATTTATTTGAAACTATTAAGTCCAACATTGTAAGCAAAGATGGATAGTGGGTAGCAGTGGAATCCAGGGAGAGCGTTCTATCCTATTTGAGACTCGTCAGTTGAATGTACCTACATCTCAGAGTTGATGTTCACTCTAATACTCGAACCCATTACCTTTCGCTTCAAATGTCATCACGATGTCCACTCGGCCACTGAGTCCTGATAACCACTTGTTTGTGCGATGGAGTGAAGTTTAAATTCATTAAATGAATTTATTAAGTCCAACCTTGACATTAATATTTATAAACACATTTTTTTCATTAACAATGCAATATACTACTTTCTATCTTATTAGTAAATAGAGTTAAACATTCGGGTATGATATAAATGTCATTCTATCTCTATCATACATTTATTTAATTACTAGCTTTAAAAATTACGATTTTAAAACATTTTTTGGGGGAGAGTGTGGAGGAATTCTCATCTTATTTTTTTTATTTATTCACTATAGTTTTACGATATGGAATACAATAATGGGTACATCGATTTTGGTAATGCCATGGGCTATACAACAAGTAAGCTATTTATAATGAATTCAGTAGTATCATATATACATATATATATACATGCATATTTTTTCAATCATAACGGTAATTTTACCGGTAGGTAGGTTTGTTTATAATTATAAGTAAAATTTTAAAAGTTTACTTGTATTATGTTAACCAAAATTAGCTTACATCATTGGCTAATTTTAATTAAACAATTATTGAAAATGAAAAAGTACTTGTTAGAGTTAATTCATACTGTAAATTAGCCTCTTGAAAAAAAACAACTTATATTTAAGTAATAATTGTGTGCTCACTAGTTAGAAAATTTCCAAACTTCATGCCATGAAGCTGTGATCTATGAAGATTCTTTCTATCTGGTGTGAAACAATAAACAATAAGATGGTGGTTGGAGGTGGTCAACAGGAAACCCTGGACCAATGTTTCGTGCTACTTGGCACTCGTCAACAAGGTGTACTTGTTATATTGAGGGATTCGATCCCGTGTCACTCAGCTTCGCACTGAGAGATGTTACCATTGAGCTACTCGGGCCGCGACCGACCTCCTGTAGGACTGAGATGTAATCACGATTGATCACTGGGTGGTGATCAATCAATCGTGATTACAATAAACAATTTTTGCCATATGTCACTAATTAAATGAAGTTAGAAATGTAATCCATTAAACAATATAAAAGTAATCATATGTTAATGTACTGATTTCAGAGCTAGAATATTCTAAATTTCATTTTTGGAAGTTTCACGAGTACACTCAGATGTTTTCCAATGGTTCTTAGTTTGTAATTTCAACCAATTTTTAGATGAACAGTAGTGCGATGTTCAAATATCAACAGATATATAGTTTCACCTTCCTCATTTTACACAAGTGATGATAATTATATGAAACATTTATCAATCTACAAGTTGGTAAAATGGCTGATATTGGTATGCGACATGCATAGTACTTTTATAGTCATAAACCTTTAACAATAAACATTGTACTTAAAATCTTTTAACCGGCCAACCATCAATTATAATTATTGTGTCCCTATCAAAACACCTTCAGCTGAACCCTGGGAGCCAAATCTGTTATTAGGGATGAAAGTTAATATATTGGAACAACCAAAAATTGATCAAATCATAAGTAAATTTAATTGATCAAGAAATCGTCTCTGTTCTTAGGATATTATACACACTATTTTGTGACCTATATATGTACGATTCCATTCCAAATTTCAAACTCTTAGCAACAGAATTAAGGAGTTTTCTTATTACCTGACTTTGACACTGATTTAAAAGCGAAAAAAAACTGAATAAAATCTAAGTATTGAACATCATGGAAAAATTTGACTGCTCTTTCATTGTTTGCATTACTCTCGTTACCATATTTTTTCCCTTCATTCAAGTTTAAATTATGTAGGATCAATATGATTAATTATGTAATAACACATACAAACATAGGCTTTCAGAATGGATAAACTTAACGTGAATTGCCAGTGTTAATCGAAATAACCATGCTAGATGTATAAGACAATAGCTATTTTTACTGTATAAATTCATTACAGTAGCTGCTTACGGTAGAATTGTAGTGAACGTGAGCATAAGTGGGAACATTCAAATGTATTTGAACACAAAATTACATAATCTCTTTGTAAAATCTGTCTCAGACTTCATTGTTCTTTCGTTTCGACATCAATCATTCTCTGTTCTCGTCCTCTTTACTTCAACCTACTTAACTTTGTGCCATCAGGTATCTCACTTTCGACAGAAGATACATACTCCTTATGTCTATCGACATCATTATTATTATTCGGAATAATTTACGTAAACTAATAAAGTAGACAAGTGTTTTGTTTTTGTTCCATCGATTCCATCCAATCGATTCTCCATCTACTGATTATTTTGTTATCAAATTAAAACATGACTTTTTCAGTTTTTCTATGGAATTTAAAATTACATTTTATGTTAGCTCACTAGACAGACATATACATATTTTTATAATGACTATCACAATGAATGTATACTATTGAATAAATTAGTAAATAGTAAATCACAACATATTTCAACGTAATCAATCTTCTATTAGTTTTGTAATCAGCAAATAAGTTAACAATAGTAACTTTCATGTTGATAAGGTAGAGACAAAATGCGAGAGAGAGAGAGGGAGAAAAAAAACAAACTTGAAAAACCACCGGCTTGTCATAATCAACTGATTTTGTTATTCTTTCTTTTCTTATATTTATTTTTCAACAGGCTGGTTTCACTTTGGGTATATTTTTAATTATATTTGTCGCATTCATTGCTTGGTATTGTGGTTATCTTGTATTGAAAGCAACAGAAGATTTGAAAAGTATGGAGATTTATTTTTATGGACTTCATTGTTACTTTATATATATGCAAACTGTTTTTTTTAATAATAATATTATTATTTAATTTAAAAACATAAATATTGGTACAAAGGGGCACCAAATACATATGCGCCACACAAATCGATTGAGATTTGTGTGAGGGCAGTGATACGGCCCGGGTGCCCGAACTGAAGCAGGTGGGTTTTTTAGGGGACCATACCCGGAGCCTTTGACCTAAACGTCTGATCCACTAGGCAGTGGAGCATCGTGAGGAGATGCAGTCCTATGGTAGCCAGTCATCAACAATTGATTCATACGCCATTTGTTCACTCAGGATACTGGAGCCCATGTGCATCATTTGTTTGGATTCAGGTTTTTCCAACTCCCATAGGTAAACTTTCTGTGTCCACCAACCCGGTTAAAGCGCAGAGCATTCGCTTTTTGTTCTCTTAATTCCATAAATATTACCCCCGCCACGAGAAGGCAGTGAGTAGGTCTTCCCTGACAGAGGCTATATACTCGTAGTCATGTGAGAGCATTTCGAGAGGGAAAGCGAACTCTCCCCACTCTCGGTCATACCAGAGCATTTTCTGGTCATCTTTTAATAATAAGTATTTTACGATACATATTTTTAGGTATGTATGTGGATATTTGTCAGTTTATTGTATGAATATTCTAGAATAGAAACGAACAACATAGAAATCGAATTGTTTACGGATGAAAGACTGAATAAAGTAAAATTAAATTTGATCATAATTTTCATAGTTGAAAGCGTGAGTCAGTTAAAGCTCGGTCACCATGGAAAACCTGGAAGCACTGGACGGCCAGTTTTTCCTATTGTGGGACTCCTCAGCAATGCGCATCCATAACCTCGCCTCGCGAAATTCGAACCCACGACCTACCAGGCTCGCGTCAGAGCACTTGACCTTTAGACCACTGATCCGGAATCCGATAGTGTTTACATCTAACTCCACAAAAAACCCCTTCTGAATTAGTTATAATTTGTTATCTATATCCGCCCCCGCATTAGTAAACAGTTTGTCAAATCTTTCCGGTTTACACCCGAACCTGTTGCCTTGTAATATTATTATTTATAAAATAGTACAATCGGTTTTTATTACTTGAAGATGATTATAGAAACCAATAATTCGTGCAGTAATTATCTTCCACATAATAATAAACTCTACTAATCACTCTGCCAATAGCTCATATTCATGTCTAACCGTCGTTAAAGCCAGATATAATTTGTATCTCAATGTGTCACATCTTAAAAAATTTGGGCAAAAATGTATCCATCTAAACATCTTAAGCGCATATTCCGTTACGATTTAAACCATTCACAGTGATTTTTACTGTCAAAATACTAAAGATTTCCATTGTGTAAATTTGAACAATACATAGAGGCGAACAAGATTGTTTTCAAATAGGTCATCATTAGATTTTACGCTAATAAGCATTACTTTTTTATGCATTTATAGAAGTATTAAGTCAATCAAGGCAATGATACACAAAGCCGTGTGAGCAGTCTTGAGTACTTATAAGTCCCACTTTCTACCTCCTAGCCCAGCCAGTTAAGTCCAGAACACAAATAACAGCCTCTGCAATATGAATCATTATTCTCAAACATACTGGGTTTATACACCAAACAAACTGACCACATTGCACCATAAAATAGAAAATAACATTTATACAAGATTTGGTCAAATGTGGCGGTGAATGTGGGGAACAGTAATTAATAGACAGGGTCAAAATAAAGCTTATAATAAAAGGAACACGAATGCAAATAGTTTAGTTACTTAACAATTATACAATGAGAAATATTGATGTTGGTTTGTTCTCTGAGCTGGATGGTTTGGTCGCAGCGCTTTCATCGTCCTTCTGAATGACATCATCAGCACAAACTTCGAGTAGAAGTGAAGTGTTTGAATTTCTCCATATGTAATTCACAGCTTGTCCTCTGCACCTCGATGTTGATTGGTTCTTCTTCTTCTTCTTCTTCTTCTTCTTCTTATTATTATTATTATTATTATTATTATTATTATTGTTCTTTCAATAAAAACCAATCAACATCGAGGTGCAGAGGACAAGCTGTGAATCACATGTGGAGAAATTCAAACACTTCACTTCTACTCGAAGTTTGTGCTGATGATGTCGTTCAGAAGGACGATGAAAGCTCCACGACCAAACCATCCAGCTCAGAGAACAAACCAACATCAAAATCACCCACCTGAGCTACAAATCTTCACTATCTCAATAGGAAATATACATATCATATTGGTCCACAGATAGTTCATAAATCTTCACGGGATATGACATAACCGCATAACGATAATATTATATTTCGAAATGACTATGTTTATACGTTCTTATTCCAGATTAGTTATATATTCAGTCTATAAATGTTAGCATAGAAAAATTCCTTGCAATTTTTCCATACTTTTGTAAATGTTTTAATAAAATACAGCTTTGATATTTATTATTTACTATTCTATTATGTAAACATAAATATTCGGTCATTCCTAATCTTTATTTCTGATTTGACCTTGATGAAAACTAAAAAGTCAGTTATTAATGTTCTGTCATTTGATTAAGGAGCTTTTAAAACTTTTTCATACTTCAATTACTAAGAGTTGCGTATTCATTTATTTATAAAAAGAATAGGGAATGAGGTAGACACATAACCTACAGGTTTATGACATATTTCAGTTTAAGCAAAAAATATGGATTATAAGCAAAGATGGATAGTGGCTAGCAGTGGAATCCAATTTGACGCGCGTTTCGTCCTATTTGGTACTCGTCAGCTACATGTACCTGCATCTCAGAGTTGATGTTCACTCTGGCACTCAAACCCAGTACCTTTCGCTTCAAACACCATCGCGTTATCCACTCAGCTACTGAGTTCTGATAACCACTTGCTTATGAAATGGGGTGAATTAAAGCTATATCGAATCAATACGCACAGTATGCACATATACCAATTACAGACTGACCAGTTCCAGTCCTAAACATCATTAGGAAGATTCAAACAAACAATACTAAGTGAATTTGAAAAAAAAAATAGATTGTTATTGCAATGTGTTGTGAAGATCTTGCAATCTAAAATTTCAAATCTTAAATTATTCTTAGTTAAATGATCATTGAAAAACAATAAGAACTAGATCGCTTTTCTGTCTTAATATAGAATTTCTTATCAGTAAACATCTATAATTTTACCATTTCACATCAAGTAGCAAATGTATAATAACCTGATATTTAATGGCTTACATTCCTAATTAAAATTAATTCATCATATTATTGTATTACTATCATTTAAAATCAGTTCATAACATGGAACATCAAATAAATAGATTATTAAAATAATTATTAATTGTAATAATTAATGAATTACATTTTGTATAGTGAATATATATAAAACCCTTTCTCATTTAACCATTTACTACGGTCACTTATTTATAAAATGAATGAATGTTTGTTAAACCACTGACTAATATTGGTTATTTTATTTATCTATAGGATTGTAAGAGACTAATTAACTGAATAAAAATATTATTACTTATCAATGTTTAGATTATCATATTTTGATTTTTAAATGTATAAAACATAATGGAAATGACTATCCATGAATTTTAATTCATAGTTATAAATATGAATGTCAAAGTTGGACTTAATAGTTTCAAATCAACTGAGTATTGAGTAGATTAACTTATTATAGATTAAGTCATGAAATGTCGGAAACACAATTGTTTTTTGATGGAGTTTCGTTCTCTGAGATGGCTGGTTTGGTTGTGGAGCTTACATCTTCCTTCTGAACGACATCACCAGCACAAACTTCGGGTAGAACTGAAGTGTTTGAATTTCTACACATGTGGTTCATAGCTTGTCCTGTACACCTCAAAGTTGATTGTTTCTTGTTGACCTTAAATCTGTCATTGTTAATTTCATTGTTTTGGTTGTATCTTCCATTGGTTTGATTTTTGTTCCTATGTTTATGCATGATTTTCCTGATTGGTTGATGAATTGGATTGATTTCAATGTGCTTGTTTATTGCTGACTGACCTGAGTGCTAAGCTTTTAAAAATTATCTGGTGCTTTTGGAATCGCTTCTATTCAAAATCTCCACATTTTTCCAGTCGAATGTGCGTCCGCAGTTGTCCACATGCATTGATATGAGTGAAGACATGTCATGGCGTTTGACTGCTAATTGATGTTCATGAAGGCGAAGATAAAGAGGGCGTCCGCTTTTTCCGATGTAGTGTTTGTCACAGTTAGCGTAATTTATTTTGTAGATGATGTTCGGTTTGTCTTCTTTTACCATTTCATCCTTTGGTTTGTATGAGATTGAATGGAGGGATTTTGTTAGTTTGTGAGCAACACCTATTCCGTAGGTTTTCAGCAGTCTGACTGCTGATGTGGTGTATAAATAAGTGATATGTCATATTTTTGTATCTTTTTCATACTTTCATGACTTCAACAGTAAAAATTTCGTCACTATTCATCTTTTTTCATAACATCAAGTTATTTTAACATTAAACTCCATAGACTTGTGGTCAATAACCAATATCACATGTCACCTATACTGGAATTCATCTTCACTATATTCAACCACGCTACATCGTTTGCTAAATTTGCTTTAATTGAAGCGTATCTACAAGTGGAAATATCAACTTTATCTCATGAGCTCTTCTCAAGCAAGACATTGATGATGAATCCTGTATAGATAACTATTAGGGGTTGATTATTTCTCCAGCCATGTCACAAAAGTTCACATACATTAAGTAGACGCATCGTTGGAGCCGCAGAATATGTAAACTAGATTTTTTCAGTGAGCAGATCAAAAACTGGATATGAAGGACGAATTCTAGAGGTATTTCGGGGTAGTGAAGTATTTGTAAGTTTCTACCATGTTATCACAAATTTCAAACCTTGCTATGGATTATGAATTATATTGTATTTGTCTTTGAAGGAAAACGGCACCGAATCTTGGAGACATTCAAGCCATTGACAAATGAGATATACTTTAGAATTATTTTTAAATGATTTTATAATCAATAAAATATTTGTTGCACTCCTACTGATAACTTTCGAAAAATAAAGGAGGAAATCACGAACCCCTATTATACATCTTTGGCTTTTGAAATATGACTCCAGAATACTCAGTCGAATGATTCACAGGGAGACGCTAAAATATTCTATGAATATCTAAGTGTTTCTTAAAATATTGTGCTGAAATTATTAATTTTACTTCCGATGAAATTAGTTCGAGATTCAGTTTTTACTTTGTTTAAAACATTTTAATCGGGGTGGTTTTTAAACTTAAATCATCAGTTCTATATTCTAAGGAGTCAAATTCAGAAAAGCCACTAATCACACCTTTTTTGAATGGTGGTTAAGAGTGGAATCCGAGACGAGCTTTTCGTAGTATTTGGTTCTCGTCATCTGAATAAACCTGGCTTCCAGTGTTGACGTTCACACCAAGATTCAAACTCAGTACAATTCGTTTCAGACTCCAACAAATCATTTACCATTCTATTGCATATCATATCACATTTTTTTAAATAAGTCATATCAGTCAATTTTCCACTTTGATTTATTTTTGATTCTTCAGTGCCTAATATTCACTTCATGTTATTTGATACTCTCCACATTATTACATATTTGTTTGTATTGGACACCACTTTCATCCTACTATGAAACATCTCAGCAGTGCGCGCTCATGACCTCACCACAAAGAATCAAGCGCACTACCTTCACTCTTGCCCATGAACGCTGAACTTCAAAAATACCGAATCCATATCCAACAGTGTCAATGTCTAGCTTTACTCAATATAAGATATAGACCAACAATGTACAAGTACCTGAATTATTAACAATTTTTTATTACTTTATTATTTTTCCATTCTAGTTATACAAAACCTTCGTTCATCTGCTGACTTGGAGTTTACAGACGTATGTCAGTATCATTTAGGAAGACCTGGTTACATTTTGGCAATCTCATTTTCTATGTTAGCTCTTTTTGGTGCAATTATAGTCTATTATGTTTTAATGTGTAATTTCCTATATTACACTGGTGATTTTATTTATAGTAAGTTGACAGTGGTTTTTTAGTTATCGTCCTAACTTTTAAATTATATATAAGTCATTTCATCATAGATGCTTTCTCCAGGGGGCACTGCAGGTCCCAAGCCCGGGTGAAGGAGGAGGGTTGGGCATGGAGTTAACGACCTCATCTCGTAGAAAACCAACTCGCTAAAAAAACGCCAACCAGAAAAAAAATTATTCAAACCAATGATGTGAAATTGATATTTCTTATTTCTTTGACAATGTTACGGTCAGATTTTATTTAAGTGTCTATTCAGGAAATTCGTCTGTATAAATTAAACGTAACCAGTAAACTACTTATTTAATTTATGAAAGCAAGATCACAGAAACCATTTGTGTTATTTTTGAAATAAAAGGAACCACTTTTAGGTAAAAGTTAATCCCCATATTTGAATGAACTGGGCTTTAAATGTTTATTATTGTAATGATTTTTTTATGTGACGATGCTTTTATAGAAGGTGGTTGAAAACATTCTTATGTTGTAAAGTAGATTTAATGATTGATGTTGTGTTAATGAGGTATGGCAATTTGGACCGATGCATATGTGTACTTGGTCCAACGTTGTAGCTCATTGACTGAATGATTGATGTAAATTAAGTATTAATTTCGAATCAAATGATTTATAATCTGTTTAACAAGCAACTTTTGATGTTTTCAACAAGCTTTTGTTTCGTAAATAACTTAATACCACAGTTATGTTAGAAATGGAAACACATTACTTATCTACTCGTAATATGTGATCTACTACTTAACTGTTCTTCTCATCCATTTTTGACGATATAAAAGGCAATACATGACTGACTTGGAGTACATGACACCTGACAAAAATTAAAACGTAGACAAATGTTACTATGATTATATTTGTCAAATAAGTAAAACAGGTTTCTTTGTGATGTTCAGAATGCTTTTATTATCAGGAATCTCAGGATGTTATCAAAGAATTACTATTACTAAAGAATTCACCTCAAATCATATTGTAGCGGACAAGAACACGGGTTGGGACAATCGAATGTATTTAAGCACAAATTACAGACTATCTTACTAAATTCTGATAATCATACAGCAAATAGTTGATTTTCAAACAACCAATCAATTGTCTCAATCTTAACTGTTCCTTCTGCAAATATCAGTCTTCTCTGTTTTCATTGTTCCTGCATTTTCCTACCAATCGCGCTTCGTTCTTGTTCTTACCTTATGGATCTTCTGCCAAAATACATTCTATGTCTGACCATCATTATATACTCCTTATGTGGATATAAGTAACCCACACCACAATATTAACCTTCAACAATTAAGAATTCATTTAGATGCATTTATTAATGAACTGAAATCTTTCTTATACTGGAAAAAACCGTGAAGTATTTCACTGTTTCTTTGGCAGTCAATATCTACAACGCTTAGGTTCACTAAGTTACCGAATACCATATCGATTATCTAGTTTAACATACGATACATTAGAAATAATATCGTGTTATCAAATGGATTCTAATTACATTTTACATCCTAATCTACGAAAAAAAAACATTTCTCCAATTAATAAACAAGTTAAGTTAGTGAAATAAACAGTTTCCAACAAGTTTAATATTCAACACTATACTATCTGAAAAGTAATAGATCACAGGTCAACGAACAATATATATGATTAAAGGTGTCATTGCCTAGATTTTAACTTTATAATTTCAAATAAAGTGAGCAATAGGTAAATTATCAGAAAGGGGGTTTTGTAGAGATTTTAGTAATTTAGTAATTTTATATAGTTAAGATTATGAGTCAATTGAAGCTAGACCACTATGGAAAACCTGAAAGCACTGGACGGCTGTTTGTCCTATTGTGAGACTTCTCAGCAGTGCGCATCCACGATCCACGATTACTATATATAAAAATAACATATTTTTAATATTGCACTGAGTAGGAAAATTAAATTTTTAAATTTTATTATGTTTCGTGACTTAGTGTAAGTCACTTCCTCAGAAAATAAATAACTAGAATCAATTAATCCAAATTTAAGTGGTAAACAGGAACAAAGAAAGAATATTACGTGCGATCAGGCAAAAACAGATCAGATAAAGTGAATGTCATGTCATTCCGGTCAAGGTGATTTATATGTGGCATGTTTGCATATTTGTATGTGTTTGTGTATAATAAACGATGGATAAATGTGAAATTTGTGATGAAAAAGGATAGGTCAATATACTTTCATCTCACATTAAATTTACGTGTGAGAATAAAAACGAGCTCAGTGAATTACCACTTTTAGATCGCTTAGTTAAAAGAAGATAAAGTGAAGCTCTAAATCTAACCATCTATTGAAATCCAACACGCTCAAATCATTTTTTATACTATGATCCAGCATATGCATTCAATGAAAAAATCTCTCTAGCCGTAAACATTTTTAGACGAGCAAACGGCACTATTACATTTGAAGAGGATAAACTAAAAGAACGGAAGCATGTTATTAGTATGTTACAATCTAATAATTTTCCTAAGGAGATGATTGAAAATTAAATAAAGCGATATGTTTTACTGTGTCTACAAATTAGGATGTTTGGATTGTAATCCCTTCTATATTAGAGATTCATCTTGTGAAATCTTGACTCGAACCAAAGAACATCTTGGGTACACAAATAAACCACCTAATAATCCTGTATAACAGAAAAAACTCAAAATTAAATTGGTGATAGCAGTTCATGCGATTTCCAACAACCATCCGATCAATTTTAAAAACAAAATAATACAGAAAGGCTTTTCCAATTACAAAGAAAGGAGAGTAGCTGAAACATTTGATATATTGCTTAATCCTTCTACCCTCAATAGAACAGAACGCCTCACTATCCATACGACTTAGACCATCTATCCAAGCTACTATGTCTGATTCTATTCTTATTTCACACCATTATCGTACATACAAATTCAATTCAATACACATCACAAATTTCACCTTTTTCCATCGTTTATTATACACAGACACATGCAAATATACAAACATGCCATATATAAATCACCTTGACCGGAATGACATGACATTGACTTGATCAAACCTATGTTTGCTTGATCTCACCTTATATTCTTTCTTTGTTCCTTCATATAACTTAAACGTGGGTTAATTTAATTTAGTTATTTATTTTCTGAAGAAGTGACTTACACTAAGTCACGAAACATCATAAAATTTAAAAGCTTAATTTTTCTATTCATTGGGATATTAAAAATACATTCTATATATATACGATTGTTCATAGCTATAAATGGTCTCGTCCAAACCTATTCTTTCACTAAATTTATTATTTATTATTTGATGAATGTTTTGAAACTAATATAATTTACCAATATGGAAGTGTGCGGAACTTATTAATTTCATGAAGCCATCTAACTTCAACATTCATTGGAGGCTTGAAAGTAGTGAATAAACGTTTTTTTCTCAAAGAGTTCTAATAGAATCTTTAGCTTTCAAAAGGTGTCTTAATTAGGTTGGTTAGTAAGATCTAAAGTTTTTATTTCATTGCTCAACTATGTATTTTCCGATTTTAAAAATGTAATAAAATTTTATTTGTTTTTCATTTTATAGATAAAATAAATAATGCGAATAATTCACACTTGGATCAAACATTTACACTATGGAATAAAACGTATACAGGTGGTAAGTTGAATCAGTGAGTTAGTCAGTCACAACGTAGAACTTCGTACGTAAGTACGTCAGTTCAAGTTGCCATACCACATTAGCACAGAGATGCAGTTTTCGATTCAAATCTCATAGTGGTAGAAATAGTAAGAGTATAAGCATTGTCAAAGATTAGCGTTCGAAGATGTTATTCAAGGAGTGTAATACAGTGAAATAAATTTGAAAAGAGAAAAAGGTTAGGGACATGAAGAATTCAAAAGGTTAGAACTTGGCAGATCACAAAGAATGGATACGCCTTCGCCATTGAAAACGATTTTGAGCCATGTCATTCAAGGTCTCTAACCATCGGTTGCTATCATCTCGCGAGTCCCAACCAGGTAGTCTACACCTACCAACATGGCTCAGTCCAATTGTCAGTGACTTTATGGATTTGTGCCACGTTTTGGTCTGGTTGCCCCTAGTTTTGTTCCAACCCACTGCTACACTACATTGCATGTTGGGGCAGTCGGTGGTTGGGCATACGTAACACATGTCCCAGCCATCTCAACTGATGAAGTTTCACTACTTCATCAATCGATTTGCCATCCTTACCTATTACCCGTTTCCTAACATCTGCATTACTTACCCGGTGGTCCCAGGATATACGAGTAATGCCTCGAGTTGTGGTAGTTTACCAGTTGAAAAACAGAAAAAAACGGTTTTTCTAATTTCTTAGCAGTAGTTACATCTAATTAATATTAGTATTTATATTTAATTAGTAGGTATGATGCTGTGATAAAGGATCTTGAAAAAAAATATCGAGAGAGTTTATAGCAACAAAAAATGTACTTACATTAATTAATGATAATAATCGTTAGACAATAACGGATAATAGGCTTCTTTTCAAAACTATTAATCAATCAAAAATAAGGATCTGATTAAGTACAAAAGTAAGATGATAAATAAGGGAATCCAGTTTTTATCTCAGGTTATATAAAAAGTTAAATCTTTTCTATCAATAGTTGTTACGGAGATTCATACTTACTTACTTAGTTACTTACTTACGCCTGTTACTCCCAATGGAGCACAGGCCACCGACCAGCATTCTACAACCCACTCTACAATGGGCCTTCTTTTCTAGTTCTATCCAGTTCTTGTTCATTCTTCTCATATCTGTCTCTATTTCTCGGTGTAATGTGTTCTTTGGTCTTCCTCTTCTCCTTTCGCCTTCAGGATTCCATATGAGGGCTTGTCTTGTGATGCAGTTGGGTGATTTCCTCAAAGTGTGCCCAATCCACTTCCAGCGCCTCTTCCTGATTTCTTCCTCCTCTGAAATCTGGTTTGTTGTCTCCCACAGTAGCTTGTTGCTGATGGTGTCTGGTCAACGGATCCGAAAACAACTGTTAATAAACACCTGTATCTTCTGGATGATGGCTTTCGTAATACGGAGATTCATAATGATCTTTAAATGGAAAAGAAATTATACACTAGAAGCCAACTGATATTCCAATACCATCCTAAATAGTAATAATAGTAATAATAAGCATGAAAAATGCTCAAAACCAATTTAGGAATATTACACTAAATACCTTTGTTAAATACATTAAAATCGTAAATAATCAAAATTATTTTTAATAGTTGGTATCTTCCTTCTCCTAAATTCAACCAATAAAGTTTTTGATCACTTCAGTTGATACAAATATTTTTCATCTTGATCACATGTAAGGTACCCGAATCCAAACATTTTCAATTTTCTTATTTTACAGAAGGTAAAAAGAGAAAAAAAGTATCAACCATATCAGTGTACTAATTCATACTTTCCAATATTTAATATCATAATAATTTGTAAGCCTTTTATGATAAAGGTGAAACATCAACAGTTTGATATATATAATTATCCATTTTTGAAGTGGATTAGAAACATTTAGATTAATTACATTATTTTAAAGAATTTGATAAATGGGAGGCTAAAACATTTGACCTGGACGCTAATTTTTATATCTTAAAATATAATTGTATACATAAACATAGCTAGTTTTGGGATGAATGTCAAAGAATTAGGCCTTTTTCTAAAACCTAAATTATTTATATATTTAATAATCCAAAAATAAGGAGTCATTTTTATGCAAAAATGGATAGTGGCTAGCAGTGGAATCCACGTCGCACGTTTCGTTCTATTTGAGAGTCGTCAACTGGATGTACCTTTATTTCAGAGGTGATTTTCACTCTGAAACTTGAACTTAGTACCATTTGCTTTAAACGCCATCGCATTATCCACTTAGTTATTCATCTTTGCTTATTATGCTTGTGAATTAAGGCTATATCGAGGCACAGTATTCACATATACCAATAAGAGACTGATCAATCGAAGTCCTAACACATCAATGGGAAGATTCAAACAAACAATACCAAATGAATTAAACTAACTGGAATTGTCCATATCAAACGACTTTGCGAAAAGTACTGGGTTCAAGCCCTAGAGTGAACATCAATTCTGAGATGTAAGTACATACAGCTAACGAATCCCAAATAGGACGAAGTGTCGCGCATCCTGGATTCCACTGATAACCACTATCTATCTTTCCTTACATATTAAGTTAATAGTTTGAAATGTAGTTTACCGAAACATATATATCATCAATAAATGATTCTGAATGTTATAAGACATGAATAAAAACAAAATTATTCTTATTTATAATATGATAGACCTTTTAGTTTCTATGCTATACACCTTATTCTAAATGTATTCAAATCATTATTATTCCGGTTATTGGAATGTAAAACACACCATTACATTACTATGATACATATATACATGTATTACTATTTATATAAGGATAGCAATGATAACAAATAACTTAACTGTTTAAGAATGTTTGTTATTAATTAATATTTACTTTATATTCAAAATACTACTGACAAGGATATTACTATGTTGTAATACTACTTATGAATATATATATGTACATATATCATCATGAGTACAGTATTAGTTTGACAGTCAACATAATAGAAATAATGTTGTCATGACAATTTATTATATCAGACTCTTTGTAACAATCTAAATTATTTACTAATTTCAATATTGTTGTTTTCTTCTTTTCTTCTTCTCATTTATTTTTATTTGGTAAACAACAACAACTGTCTATAGAGTTATATCATAGATTGTTTCTATGTAAATAGATTGTTATATTCAAATAGTAATAGTAATAATAATGACAATCGAAGTAAATGATTCAATGTTGAGTATGTTTACTGTGTATATGATATATAGTTGAATATTTGTGATATATATGTTAATAGAAAAAAAAATCTGATTTAGAACTTACATACTACTTTTATTTCTAAAAGCATATTTATTTATAACAATACTAAGTTGAGTCAGGAGAAGTTTAATATGAATAGGTTGATTGTCTTGCTATATGTAAGGAAGTACAAAAAGAGCCGAAGAACGACATCATCAGCACAAGCCAATCAACATCGAGGCGCAGAGGACAAGCTGTGAATCACATGTGGAGAAATTCAAACACTTCACTTTTACCCGAAGTTTGTGCTGATGATGTCGTTCAGAAGGACGATGAAAGATCCACGACCAAACCACCCAGCTCAGAGAACAAACCAACATCAAAATCACCCACCTGAGCTACAAATTTTCTCCACCATCTCAAGATCTATATGTACTCATTTACATGTTACCATCAGTTGTGTTTATAGATTTAAATGTTTTTTAAAAAAGAGTTTTTATCAGTCTGAAAGAAATAAGACATTATTCTGAACATTTAAACATGTTCCATATATCATTGTATCCAGGAACTTAGGAACCTTGAGAAGCTTAATTAGAATACAACACACCAGGTTGAATTTTGAGGCTTTTTAATGTGAATGATGAACATAAGTTCCGAAATAAAGCATAAAGTCGTTTCTTCATCTGATAACACATGATCTATATCATTAAATTGTAAAATATTTTTCCACTCCCTATCTTTTTTGATATTTTTCATTATTTTTTGTACTTCCAACTAGTTATTTCTGACCAACTAAGCTTTACTCCTATGATTTAGTTCATACTCATAATTGAAGTTTACTCATCCCATAAACATTTATTCCTAGACCCAATGTAGGAATTTTGCAAATAATAATGTTCTACAATATTTTTATGTACATTGTTAAGAGCAATCCTTTCCGATTAACATTCATCATTTTCGTATCTTCTACTATTTCCCGGCGTAATGTGTTCTTTGACCTTCCTCTTTTCCTCTTCCCTTTAGGATTCCAAGTTAGGGCTTGTCTCGTGATACAGTTAGGTGGTTTCCTCAATGTATGTCCTATCCACTTCCAACGTCTTTTCCTAATTTCCTCTTCAGCTGGAAGCTGGTTTGTTCTCTCCCATAAAACACTGTTGCTGATAATATCCGACTAGTGAATGTTGAGTATCTTGAATAGACAACTGTTTACAAATACTTGTACCTTATTGACGATGGATGTAGTAGTTCTCCACGTTTCAGCTCCGTGCAGTAGTACTGACTGTCTTGACGTTCGTATTGAAGATTCTCACTTTGAAATTAGTTGAGAGTTGTTTTGAGTTCCATACGTTCTTCAATTGTTGAAATGTTGCCCATGTTTTGCCAATCCTCGCCTTTACATCTGCATTAGATCCTGCTTGTTCATCAATGATGCTTCCCAGATACGTAAATGTTTCCATCTGTTCCAGAGTTTCTCCATTAAGTTTGACTGGTTTGGTGTTCTCCGTGTTGTATTTGAGAATCTTGGTTTTTCCTTTGTGTATGTTGAAGCCTACCGGTAAAGAGGCTGCTGCTACATTTGTTGCCTTCGTCTGTATTTGCTAGGTCATCTGCGAAGTCCAAATCGTCTGATTGGTTCTGATATGTCCGTTGTATTCCGTGCTTCCCGTCAGATGTCGAGGTCTTCATAACCCAGTAAATTAACAGAAGAAAGAGGAAGGGGAAGAGTAGACAGCCTTGTATGACTCCGGTCCTTACTGAAAATGCATCTGCCAACTGTCCTCCATGCACCAATTTGCACTGTAGTCCGTCGTATGAGTTCCGTATAATGTTGACAATCTTCTCAAGAACTCCATAATGTCGAAGATACTTCCATAATGTTGTGCTGTCCACACTGTCAAACGCCTTCTCATAGTCAATAAAGTTGACGTATAGTGATGAGTTCCACTCAACTGCTTGTTCCACGATGATCCGTAGTGTCGCAATTTGGTCTGTGCACGACCTATCCTTACGGAATTCAGCCTGTTGATCTCGAAGTCAGTGGTCTACTGCGTCTATCATCCGGTTCAGCAACACTCTGTTGAAAACGTTTCCTGGAACTGACAACAGTTTGATGCCTCTGTAATTCTCATATATACTCATATCTCTTTTTTTTGGTATTTTGATGAGGTATCCTTGTTTTTAGTCCGTTGGCACTTGTTCCACTTCCCAAATCTACTTAAATAGAAGCATGTTTGCAGTTACTTTAATGTCTCAATTCAGTGCTTTAGCTAGTATATTGTCAGGTTCAGTCAATTCCTGTACAACAGATTTGAAGTTTAATTTAACATTTAATAGTATGTCTATGGTTTGATCAGACCTGAGTCAAAATATCAACAACGAACTAATTATAACAAATTAAATTAGAAATTATTATTATCCGTTAAACGTATCTATCAACATTTCAATGATCATTCTCTTGATGAATGTTCTTTATCATATACAATGAATATTTCACTGATTTTATACTAAATTCACTAAGTTCATTTTCATTTATTTACTTAGCTACATGTTCCAATTTACCAATTATCCCAAATGAAGATCGTGAAAATATTATAATTCCTACTTTGAATCATGGTAATGAAGCATTTAACAATTCATCAAACATTAATTATATTTCTACATATAATCGTTTATGGTCAAAAACTCGTACTGTTCCAGCATGGCTTTTATTAATTGTAATTCCATTGATTTCTATTAAATCACCTACATTTTTAAGTAAATTTAATGCACTTGGTAAGTAAATTTAGTTGTTTTTCTTTATTTATTAGATGTTTAGATGTTTTCCTTATTCGATTCGAACTTACTTACTTACTTATTTACTTACGTCTGTTACCCCTCGTTGAGTAGCGTTGACCGCTCACCAGTATTCTCCATCGAACTCTGTCCTGAGCCTTCCTTTCTAGTTCTTTCCAGTTGTTATTCATCTTTTCCATATCTACTTCTATTTCCCAGCGTAATGTGTTCTTTTACCTTCCTCTTTTTTGCTTCCCTTCCGGATTCCAAGTTAGGGATTGCCTTGTAATGCAGTTTGTTGATTTTCTTAATGTATGTCCGATCCACTTCCAACGTCTTTTCCTAATTTCTTCTTCAGCTGGAAGCTGGTTTGTCCTCTCCTATAAAAAGCTGTTACTTATAGTATCCGGTCAATGAACTTTTTTTTAATTGTCAGTTTTAATATAGAAAATATAATCGAACTATAATTTATGGATAGCCTTTTTGGCAATGTTAAAGTAACTATGGGTAAAGCAACCTACTTACTACAGTATGAAGTGGGTTATAGATTATTCTCAGAAATTAAGATTAGTATTTAAAGTTAAAAGTTTATGTTAAAAACTAGATTTAAGAGTTTCATCACGAAATAATATCAGTTATAAATTCTAAAACAATATTGAACCATTTGGATGAATAAATTTTGCGCTATAGTCCGATACTCATCATTCTTAAATCTGATTGGTAAATCTATAAATCATAATCACATTGAAAAAAATCTAATATCTTTATTATTATTCTTAAAAAAGTAGTATTGAACGTTCAGATATAATTTTCTTACAATTAAACAAGATGTAATTTATTCATTAATAGTACTAAACTTCAATAGTAAGAAATATCATTACATAAACTCTTTCACCAATATACTATACTAGAATATCAAATATGAAATATTTAATGAGTTGATATATTTTCAATTTAATAGGAGAAGTTGTTTGCCTATAATACATGAAAAAGTATTTTAATTATTGTAATGTCCCTTTTATAATTCACTTTGGTGTATTTATATAACTTAAGCAATCAATTAATACTTGTTTTTGAATATGTAATTACAAATTTTCTAATTACATAAATTGTAAGATAAATGATCTGTGTTATATCCTAGTGAAGACATAAGTATGGGTAATTCTTAGGACCTATTAACGGACGATTATTCTATATATATTGTTAATGTTTAACTATTGTGTAATTAGATTGTGTATATCTATATTCATTTTATTATAAGCTTCATTTTGATCTATGAATTATCACTGTACGATTTACTATTCCCAAATTATATTCAGTTTATTCACTATTCCCTCCCATGTTCACAGCCAGATTCGGCTTGATCTTGTACAAATATTATTTTTTTATTTTATGGTGTGCTGAGGTCTGTCTATCTAGTATATAAGCCGAGTATACCTGAAATAAATAATTCGCATAGCAGAAGTTGTAATTGGAGTTTTTTGGACTCAATTGGAAGGGGTAGGCAGGCAAGGGACCAATAAGGACGCTAGACTGTTCAAACCACTTGAACTTCATTGATTTTGCACAGTGTTAAGATCGGATAAGTCGTATTCCGATTAATGGACAATTCACGTGATAAAAGCCGGACATAAAATCATGACGAATTGGCATATGGTTTATTTTATTTTTTAAATTCATAACAATCTCATGACAATGTTAATGTGTGCACATTATACCTGATTATTTGATTACAGCATCAAAATACAACGTCTCCATCATCTGTATTTTAATCTAAGGGATTTCAACTGACAACTTCGCATGTAATCTATCCATTATTTTGTTAGTTAAAAGTGTAAGTCAATTGAAGCTAGACCACCATCGAAAACCTGGAAACACTGGACGGCCGTTTCATCCTATTGTGGAACTCCTCAACAGTGTGCATCCACTATCTCGCCTCGTGAGATTCGAACTCAGGACCTACCAGTCTCGCGTCAGAGCACTTAACCGATAGTGCACTGAGCCAACATCCATGGTGTTAATATGTAACTTCAACCAATCCACGAAGTTGAGCAACCGTTTACCAATTGTCTTCAACTATGAAAATACTAAATCTCCACATAAACCCTCATTATTTTGTTGACCATTGTCAATTATCTAGTTTTTTTGCTCTCAGCAATATGACATGATTATTTTTTTATATCATTTCAGGTACTATTTGTGTATTCTATCTTGTCATATTGGTTTGTTTAAAAGCTGGTCAATGGGGAATTAACATGGATTTTTCATCTAAACATCCTTATAGAATTGTACCTCGTAAGTACCTAAGATTACTTTAATTCGAATATTAATTATTTCAAATCAATGATTTATCATGTCATCATAATTATTATAAATAAGTCGATGAGATACACCATAGTCAAATAGTATAAATTATCTTCATAAAAAACAAAAAAAGGAGTCCCATAACAGGGACGAAACGGCTGTCCAGTGCTTACAGGTTTTCTATGGTGGTCTAGTTTCGATTGACTCATGATCTCAAATATATTAGGATAAGAGTTAAGAAAGATGAAGATTACTGATATAAAGCATTGTTTTCATGAAATAAGATTGTTTGTTCTATGGGTGCTACTATTCTATTTTGCATATATTTATAAATATATAACAGAGAAAGAAATCGTATATTTAATAGTCAGTAAGATGCTTGCCTGTTTTTCTAAACTCAGTGGCCGATCATACTTATTTGTATCTGAATGACCTCTGAGGACATGTTAGGGATTTTAGAAGCAAAGACGAATAAGCCTTTTAGCAAAAGTGTTGTTTGGTGTAGATTGAACTTGTTAATTCATAAGTTTCCATTTGTCAACGCTACGGGACATTAGTTGTCATTTCTTTACATTTCAACATAACATATAACAATGTGTTCTTCAAAAACAGCGAAAATCACTAGGTAGCTATTCTGTTCATGAACAATATTTCATTGACATAACAATATTGAGTAATAGATAAGTATTTTCCTTTAGAAAAAAATAAACCTGAGTATTTCCAGACCAATCTGGGTTATTAAAACGATAATTATTATTGTAAGCAAAGATGGATAGTGGCTAGCAGTGAAATCAAGGACGCGCGTTTCTTTCTATTTGGGACTCGTCAACTGGATGTACCTGCATCTCAGAGTTCATGTTCACCCTGGACTCGAACCCAGTACCTTTCACTTTAAACGGCATTGCGTTATCCACTCGACCACTACGTCCTGAGGCAATACGCACAGTATGCACATATGCCAATTAGAGTCTGGCCAGTTGCAGTCTTAAAACACCAATGGGAAGATTCAAACAAACAATATTAAGTGAATTTAAACTTCCCCCCATTTCACAAGCAAGTTGCTATCACGACTCAGTGGTCGAGTGGATAACACGATGGCGTTTGAAGCGAAAGATGCTGGGTGCCAGTACCAGAGTTAACATCAACTCTGAGATGCAGGTACATCCATCTGACGAGTCCCAAATAGGACGAACGTACTGTGAACGTATTGTAGTTAAGAATCAGGTATTCAATATTCTCAGTTGTATGGTTTAATGGTGAATTCTTATTATCATAGTCATTATCTCAAAAAGAGTTATATATGAAGTGTATGCTGATGATGTTATTTAGAAATGTAATTAAATCAAGCAGCTAAAAGAGCAAAGAACTTTAGTCAATTTCTACTTTTAATTTATAAGTTCTCTCTAACATTCCTTTAGTCTTGAAAGAATGTTCTAGAATAACTCATGAATCGAAGAACACGAGAGTTAGTTTGTAAAATATTCACTATTTATACATCTTATAATAAAAAGGTATGTGATCTGATATTCAAGTCCACTGTGTTGTAAAATAACATAACAGTTTAGGAAACAACAATTGTCCTAATTACTTTTTGCGGCCAGCACTGTTATACACTACTGTAGTGAAGAAAACACGACTGGGGACAATCGAATGTATTGAAACAAAAATTACAGACTATCTCAGTAAATTCTGATATCCATACAATGGACAGCTAATTTGCAAATTAACAACCAATAGTCTCAATCTCCACTGTTTCTTCTCTAACTCCATTGTTCATGCATTTTCCTACCGATTGCGCTTCGTTTCAGTTCTTTCGTCATCGGTCTTCTGCCAAAATACATTCTATGTCTGACAAAACCATATACTACTTATATGGATATAAGTAGACCACACCACATTACTGATGCAGCTAATCTGTATCGGGTATAAGACAGTTACCTGCTGTAAGCAATATAAAATGGTTGCATATTATTGTGAATTCATTAAAATTAGATATTAGCACCCATAGATTTCAACTCCAGTGGTCTCAAAGTTAATCGTTTGCATGAGAGATCGAAGGTCCTATATTCGGCATCGTAAATATGCACTACCAAAGAGTGCTGTGCTAGGACTAAATAGTCATCCAGGGATTCTAGATTTTCAATGATGGTTTAATTTATATCAATTCATGATTTTAAACGAAGTCCTCAACTTAAAAATATTACAATATTATAATATGACTTAATATCAGTTGCATAAGAAGAATACAATGATACATACATTGTTTGAAATCTTTCACCATATATATATATTTTTTATTATTTATTTAGAAGCACAAATTACATTTATTAGTTTAACTGGTATATGTTCATTGGCATTTTTCTGTCATAACACTTTACATACATTAACACGTAATCAAAAACAACCGGAAAATAATGTAAGTGAATTTAATTCTGTAAATTATTCTACATATATATCTGTTATCTTCATGAATATATTATTATTATCGTGTTATATCTCGATGGGAATTATGTATAGTAACTTTTCAGAACTATTTATAGACCAATATTATAGTGAACAGAACACGACTGGGGACAATCGAATGTATTTAAGCAAAGATTACAGACTATCTCAATAAATTCTGATTACCAAACAATGAACAGTCAATTTGCAAATTAACAACCAATTGTTTCAATCTTCACTGTTTCTTCTCTTATTCCATTGCTCATGCATTTTCCAAACGATTGCGCTTCATATCAGTTCTTCCCTCGTCGGTCTTCTGCGAAAATACATTCTATGTCTGACCCACACCATATACTACTTATATGGATATAAGTAGACCACACCACAATATGTTACATAAATTTTTATTAAGCACCTAAGCTATGCATATTCATATTCCTCTTATTAAAAGCTTTATTTTAATCTATAGACTATTATTATACAATTTACTGTTCTTTTGAGTTATGCCCAATCTATTAATTACAATCTCCCATAATCTAAGCCACCTTTGGCTAGATCATGTACAAATGTTGTTTTCTATTTTATGGTGCGATTTGGTCAATTCGGTTTACTTATAAACTCAGTGTGTTTCCTAACGCGGAGACTGAAATTAATATTTCTGGAATCAATAGTCAGGGTTAGGTGGGAAGAAGGACCGATAAAGACTTTGCATTATTTGTACGGGTTTACGCGTCATTTGTCCGATCAAAAACTCACTGTTCTCCAATTGGCGATATCATTACGTTATATAATAATAAGGTACAAGGTCACAAGATATAACATATCCCCTTTTAAACAATTAAATAAGACGAAATTATCATATAGTACAATAATGTCAAACTAACAGTATGTACAGATAGATATGGTTTCGAGATTATTTCAATTAAAAATAGAACTTAGTGTAGTTATAAACAATTGATTTGACGAATGTACTCCAGCATTTACAGACGATATTTCAAGACGATTCTAATCTTGATGCTAGTTGAAGATACAATGTTTCTTGAATGAATTACTAGACTGATGAAATAACTATTTCAATTATTGAATTCAGCAATGAAACTATTTTTAGACACCTATCTAAACTTAACACTTTCTAACCAATTGAATTTTAATGTTATACACATCATTTGAAAGTTATTTAACTTTGGTTATTTATTCGATTATTTGAAGTGTCTTACAAATAAGATAAGAGGGGGTGTTGTTGAGATTTCAGTATTTTCATAGTTGAAATCATGAGTCAATTGAAGTTCGCGAGATTTGTGAGTGCAGGATCTTCGATGCGCATTGCTGAGGAGTCCCATAATAGGACAAAACGGTCGTCCAATACTTTCAGGTTTTCCATGGTGGTCTAGCTTCAATTGACTCATGATTTCAATAACAAATAAGAAACAAAAAATTATACAGTTTATATGAAAGTGTGGTTTTGGTTAAACAATAACACAAAACCAACAGATAGAAAGTATGGAATCCATCAACAATACTTACTCACGATAGTTTCAGGTATTGAATCCAAGAACATTAAGTATCTCAGTCAGCACTTAACTTTTAGGTCACTGGAAAAAAAATACTTTGTATTATAAATTTTAACCAGTTTACGATATAACATAACCATATTTCAATATCATAGGTAGGGAAATGGTTTCATACATTTGTAACTAATTTCGTATCCTTGTAAATGTATAACAGTGAAAATTCTGAAAAAAGCAGTTCTTGCTAATTGTTAACTAAATTGCAGACAAGAAATTCCTCTAATATCTAGTTTTTGTATATATTCATTTTATGAGATTATTGAGGCTATAAATTAAGATTTACGGCTATGAACTTGAGAAATAATTTCTTATTACAGTGGGGGAGTCGTGCTGATCTTTGAATTGTATAGTTTATATCAAATGCTAATCATGTACTTACTAATAGCTGATTTCGAGACATAACTTCAGGAGTTTTTATGAGAAGTTGTGACAATAAGAGCTTAAACATGTTGAGTATGAGCTATTCACTTATCAATAATATTGCGAAATGGTCTTACACAGTATGCGAATCAAATGAAGTTCAATCTATAGGTCACTAGATACTGGCTCGGTGGTCTAAAAGTTTAAGCACTGGCTGTAAAAACCAAAGGTCCTGGATTTGATCCAGAGTAGGGTCATGACTACCTCGAGGTAAGAAATAGAATACTAGCAGGAAACGGCAGTTCAGTGCTCTCAAGTTTTCAATAGTTTTTTACAATCGGTTTGTATTGACTTAAAATTTCGATTGTTTGTTTATTATATAATTTTCATATTCTATTAAAAAGTAATACATTTTCCTCACTTTATATGTATTCATTTTAGACACGAGATGTGGCTATTGCATTTCTTCTGGTAGCAGCTACTTATCTATCTATTGGTTTAATATTCTACTGCACTTTTCCATTAGCAAAGTCTTGTATTGAAGATGTAAGCTTCTTTTTTTTCTTAACAGAATCAAATATATTGTTTTTATGCATTTGACTACATAGTTATCTAATATGAGAAGAGGTTTTGTGGATATTATAGTAATTTTAACAGTTGAGATCATGGATCGTGAATGCGCACTGCTGAGGAGTCCCACAATAGGAAAAAACGGTCGTTCAGTGCTTCCAGATTTTTCATGGCGGTCTAGCTTCAATTGATTCATGATCTCAACCGTTAAAATTACATAGCTATCTCTTCATTATTTTGAAATTAATTATTTTTATTTTGTTGTAAGAAGATTGAAACTTATTGTTTACTTACTTACGTACTTACTTACGCCTGGTTCTCCCAATAAAGCATAGGCCGCCAACCAGCATTCTCCAACCCACTTTGTCCTTGGCCTTCCTTTCTAGTTCTATCCAATTGTTGTTCACTCTTCTTATGTCTGTTTCCATTTCTCGGCGTAATGTGTTCTTTGGTCTTCAGGATTCCATATGAGGGCTTGTTTTGTGACGCAGTTGGGTGATTTCCTCAATGTGTATCCTATCCACTTTCAGCGCATTGAAACTTATAGTAAACTGTTATCTATCAAATAAAGTCTACTATGAGTAAGATCAGAATACCGATTGAGTCGGATTAATATGAATTCAATATAATTGATAGTTACATCTCATTCATTATTATCTCTTATTATAATCTGATATCATATCTCAATACGAACATAGTTGTAAGTTTCTAAGAAAAAATCACGAAATCAAATGGTTGTATATCTTTTATTTTTTTTAACCTTAACTGTTTTTTGTGATTTTAATCAAATTCATTAAAAGGAAAAGAATTGTACAAAGTCCATATTATAAGGAAAAGTAATACTCTTTTGATGTTTCGTTTTGAGAAACTGTACTTTTTTTTAACTGAAAAAAACAGAAATCTAAAGTTAGCAGAGATGGATAGTGGCTAGCAGTGGAATCCACGACGCGCGTTTCGTCCTATTTGGGACTCGTCAGCTGGATGTATCTGCATCTCAGAGTTGATGTTAACTCTGGTACTCTGGTACAAAGTAATCCTCTGTGATATGCTTCAAAAATTTTTACTTATCAAAATGTGAATATAATGGTAGAAACGAAATGGTATGAATTAGTTTTTGAAGACAATAGATTATACTGTTTAAATTCAATCATAGTGACCCAGAATTTGTCACCTTTATCGTTTAATTGAAACTCTTTCATTGGTTGATTAGTGAAGGGATTTTCACATACATGTTGACTACCAACTCATTTTAAAACTAAATTTGTAAATTTATTTGATAAGCGCTCGCGCACGAGACTGATAGGTCCTGGGTTCGAATCTCGTGAGGCAGGATCGTGGTTGCGCACTTCTGAGAAGTCCCACAATAAGACGAGACGGTCATCCAGTGCTTTAAGGTTTTCCATGGTTATGTAGCTTCAATTGACTCACGATTTCAACTCTATAAAATTATTAAAATCTCCACAAAACCCCCTTCTGATAATTATCAGATTTCATGTAACGAAAAGTACCATGTTTCTCTACTAGATTTGGTTTTGTATTTAATGACATAAGATAAAATTAGGGGATTTTTCTATCACATCATATAAGAAAGAAGTCAATTCTAACATGACTATTCTAAAGATGTCATTAAGACACAGTTTATAAATCTCCAGTACAAGTATTCTTAATTCTTATGTTATACTGGCTATCGACTGTAGGCATATTAGTTTCGTACTATGCATAAATAAACGTAGGTTCGATTTAGATTCCATTATTGTCATCATATTCATGATGATAACCATGTACATATTGGCAGATGTAAAATCCACATAAAAGGATATAAAATTGTTTTTCTTTTCACTGTTGTCGGTTTGTTGGGATTGTTGCATACTTTTAATATTACGAACTGACATAAGATAAACAACCATTAAAAACCAGCAGTGGGATTTTGTTTAGCCGTAGTAAGTGGTTGATCGACAATACACGTCTACGGCCTAACACAGATTCCAACTCAAGAACTTCAAGTCTCTTGAAAAGCGTTTAATCGTTTTCTCCATTAGCTTAGTGTTTGTATCGCATACACTGTGTATGGAAAGGACATTTTAATAAAAATTGTTTATTTATTCCTTTAATCAGTAGATACTTCCAACTAACCAGTCAGTCAGTCAGCTACAACGTAGGATCAGGCACATTTATGCATCGGTCCAATTTGCCATATCTCGTTAGCACAACAAGATGAACACCAAATTCATAGAAGTAGTTAATTTAGTGATGGTAGTATATAAAAGATAGGTTGTATATAAGGATATAGCATAGGAAGGAAGAACGGTATGAAGCAAATTTAATCTCACGGTTTAAGGGAAGACAAAGAGTATATACACCTACGCCATTGTGATTGATTCTGAGCCATGTCACCTAGAGTCTCCAACCATTGCTTACGATATTCACGCGGACCCAAAACTAGTAGTCTGTATCTATCAACATGGCTTAGTTTAGAAGTTAGTGACTTCAAACAATGATGCCACGTTTTGGTTTGGCCGCCCCTAACTTTCTTCCAACCATCCCCTACACTAGTCAGCATAGCGCGTCGTGGTAACTAACCAACTGACGAATTAGTTGTTAATTACTTATTGCTATTAAACTTTATTATTGAATACGGTGCATGACAAAAGTGAAAGATAGAAGTGACATGACCAAGTATTCATGATATTTTAGAGTGAATTAAATCTGTTATGAATTGGAACATCTAGATCCATTTGTTTAACGAAGGCAAATCGATGAGATTGTTATATTTAGAGCTTTGATTCTTACTATGCCGCGTACTAATAGACTACGTGAACGATTGAACCCGCAACGTCGCAAAGAGAAGACAGAGGACCAGTAAGTAGGAATTTTATTCCCCTAAACAGTGTCAAAATATAGGACAGAAATCTCATGTATTTATAGTTTTTGACTGAGAGGAAATCATCATTTCGAACAACTAATAGGCACATAGGGGTCATCCTTATTCATCCAATCAGGAAGCTAAACGTCGACATTCTAGAATGTTCCCCTAGCAGTGATTGGATGGAATGTCTTCGGCTCTTTCTGGGCTTCCTAGAATTTACCAACGAGCTGTCCTTACAGAGATAAAATGAAATTCATTCGTACCCATAAGCAAATGTTTACTTTCTCTTTTTATTTATTTTTTCTGTGTAACAAAACCTTACATAGAATCTTCTAAACAACCTAATAACAGATATACCAGTATTTATTGGTCGTTTCTTTTCACTTCTACAAATGTTCACTGTATTTCCAATGATTCTTTATGTATTACGTGTACAAATTATGACTGCTATATTCAAAAAACCATATCCAGGGTAAGTCAATACAATTCTCTTGTTACTTCAAGTATTTTATCAAAGTATATTCTCCCTGGAATATAAGACTAGATTCAATCAGCTGATTGTAACCGCCTATATAAAGTTTAAAGATTCTTCATTGCTAGTAGTAAAAGAAAAAAAACTGTTTGAATGTAGTTTTTTTTTAACTCAACGCTTACATGACGACATGATATTTGTTTATTTAAAAAAGAAAACCGCTACATTCCATTTTAAAATATAAAACAAATGAATAATAATGATTAAAGTCAAAAATTTATCATAAACAGGCATAACAGAGATATATCCATACAAGAATACTTGGGAATGACTTGTTTGATTGATATTGAATGTGATCAGTAACCGTTTCATTTAATGGCATAAAGCATTTTATTTATTTATTTAAACACATAAATATTGGTGTAAGGAAGCACCAAATATATATGCGCTTTATGTCCTCTCAATTTCGTAAACTACAGTAATGCCTCGAGAAGGCAGTGAGTAGGACTTCCCTGACAAAGGCTGTATACACATGGCCATAGGAGAGCATTTCGAGAGGGAGAGCTGACTCTCCGCACTCTCGGCCGTATCAGGGCATTTGGGGGCATATAAAGCATTGTCCCTTCTTAGTTAGTGTTTGGATCATTTCATGATGCCAGATAGTTTATGGACAGTACTTTTTACACAACTCATATTACCTTTCTTGACTTAAAGCATCATTCTATTTATTTTGTTCGACAATTTCTATCATCTGACAATTTACTAAATTTTTTTCTTCTGTTGTACAATGTCTAGTTGAGTACGTTTAATTATTAAGTGTGGGAAGTTTGACTTATAGATTGTTATGGTAGATTAAGGTACTGGACAATTTAATCGTCAAATAGATATTGAAAATTGATCAAACATTGAATAGTGACCAATTTCATGTTTGTTTAGTCTTTTAGTCATTACCGAATTCAATATATTGGGGTATATTAGATCTGCTATTATAAGTTCATTAACATTATATACATTATATTCAAGAAGAGACAAATATCATAGTGGTCACCAACCAATGGTAGATTAACTGTGAATATTTCGGTCTTACAAACGATCAGTAGCAAAGTAAATAAAGTGAATGATGACATATCAGACAGTGAAGCTGGGTAACACTGATTTGCCTTCCATAAGAATAATCAATTCTTACAAGATTTGAGGCACACTATACTGACTAGTGACAAATACTGTGAAATCTAAATCAAGCAGTGTTTTCCATGAACTACTTTCAACCACATGTTGCCTCAAATTTAAGTATGCACAAAACATCCAGCAGTTTTTATAGATACCAATAAGTGACATTACAAATTTTTATAATGAATAGCTGTTACAGAATATGCACTTTTGAACGCGTTTAATTAATAAATTTGTACTTGACTGTTTGACTATTTTTTATATAGTTGAAATCATGAATCAATTGAAGCTAGATCACCATGGAAAACCTGGAAGCATTGGATGGCCGATTCGTCTTATTGTGGGACTCCTCAGCAGTGCGCATCCATGATCCTGTCTAACGAGGTTAGAACCCAGGACTTTTCAGTCTCGTGCGCCAGCGCTCAACCACTAGACAACTGAGCCGACCGGCATCCAACGGTGATAATGTCTAACTTCAACCAATCCACGAAATTGTGCAACCATTTTTCAATGTCTTCAGTGAGTTAATATCTCCCAACAGACTTGGTTTAACTCCAGGTTTTCCATAGTGGTCTAACTTCAATTGACTCATAATTTCATCCATATAAAAAAATTACTAAAATTTCTACAAAACCCCCCTTTCTGTTTGCTTATTTGTTTATTAAAATTCTTTTCATTTATTATTTTTAATCTTAGATTTCTTCATGTTACTATATTACATGTATTTATTCTTGGATTATCATTAACATTTTCAATGTTGATGCCAAGTATTGGCACTATCATTCGGTAAGTTAAATTGTTTGATTTATTTAAATATGATTAATACATTTTAACAGCAATATACTTATTTATTAATTCTTAACCTCAAATGAATATTGGCGTGTATAATTTGCATAAGTAACTATATAAACTTGTCATCACTAAGGGGTTAACATAAAATGACATTTATAACTTGACATCATATCTAAAAATTGAATAGAGATCATTGCTAGTGATATTTAAATTTTTCTGGTTAGCGTTTTTTTTTTTAGCGAGTTGGTTTTCTACGGGATAGGGTCGCTAACCCCATGCACAACCCTCTTCCTTTACGCGGGCTTGGGACCGGCAGTAGCCCCAGAAGGAGCAACAGGCGGAGTTATAACTAGTGATAACAATACCTAAAATCAATTTTTTTCTCCAAATACTAACATATTCGTTTCAGACAAACGAATAAGTCATTTTGGATGACCATTAAGTAACTATGATGTTTTAATCTTCTCATTCGTCTGTGGACAGTGTAAAACTAACAAAGAACTCACTAATTCATCGTTCTATCTCATCGAAACATAATTTATATTTTACATATTGAAATACATATTGACACCATTGAAATAATTGGTGTCAAAGTTGTGTATTTGACTTCCATGAAATGACCAAGAAATTACAACACTACTTATAAGTAACAACAAATTATTAACTTAACTATTTCCATAGCTTAATATTTATCGACTTCAAAGTGTCTTCGTCACTTCAGTCAATATATTCTAAAGATTAATAGGACAAAACGGCCGTCCAGTGCTTCCAGGTTTTCCATGGTGGTCTAGCTTCAATTAACTCATGATTTCAACTTTGAAAAATACTGAAATCTTCACAAATCCCCTTCTGAGGAATAAATATATTCGTATTTATTGAAGTACTTTCTCGCAGCTTTTATGATGATGATATACGTTATCTCTATGTGATTACTAAGTCATCTTATTGTGTGATATTACAATGAAGAGTCGTTAGCTAAATTAGGTGATTTAAAAAGTCAGAATAAATTAAGAGTTTGATGTATAAGTTAATTTGAGGTTATTCTATCTCAGCTATTCAGATAACTTACTTTGACGAATAAAAGCTTCTTCTGCTATGGTCAACAAAAGCAACCATATGTCAATAACTTCTCATATCATAATGAATATTTAAGCATCATGATAGTCTGCACTCATGAGAGACTCATTTACGATTTCATTTAATGTGAAAATAACAATAAAAGCGGTTAGCATAAAACAACTTGGACGGCATAAATAGACATTGTCATTCAACATTTTTATAGTTCAATAAGAATTGCCTAGAATGTCAAATTCTAAATAATATATAACATAACCAAAGATAATGACTACCAGTGAGATCAAGTGATGTACAAACAGTGAAAAGTATGCAACACGTAGAATCTACATGCCTATTCGATACCTCACATAAACGATGAAAGCATTGAAGAAAGATTAATCTAACGGGAAGTATCAGATTTATTAAAATAACACAAATATAAAAGTAAACCCAAAAATATTTTGATATGTTGTTAAAGGAAACTCTGTATTTGGCGATTATTGTAGACATTTCATTTCTATGAGTTAACAAATAGACTTCAACTTTGATAGATTATATTTGACCGTTTATTTCATGTGTGATTATTTAACTGTTTAACATATTAAGCAGAAATGGATAGTAGCTAGCAGTGGAATCCAGTTTGACGCGCGTTTCATCCTATTTGGGAATCGTCAGGTGGATTTACCTGTATCTCAGAGTTGATGTTCACTCTGAGACTCGAACTCATTACCTTTCGCTTCAAACGCCATCACGTTATCCACTCGGCCACTGGATCCTGACAGCCACTTGCTTGTGCGACGAGTCTCAAATAGGACGAAACGCACGTCAAACTGAATTCCATTGCTAGCTACTATCCATCTTTGCTTACAATGCTTATGAATTAAGGCTATATCGAGGCAATACGTACAGTATGCATATATGCCAATTAGAGATTGACCAGTTGCAGTCGTAAACATCAATGGGAAGATTCCAACAAACAATACTAAATGTGTTTAGCATATTGTTTTGGGAATAGTAAATTTCTGAGGTACCGGGAATTCAGTCTCCAGTAAGAGACTATACTCATTTTATGTTAACAATCACAAATATAACAATATTATTGAAAATCAATACACTGTGAAGTGATTTTGCTATATAAAATGTCATTTATCTACCACATTGATTATAAGATGTAATGCATGTGCTAAAGCATTATCTACCTTGATAGGTGAATGTGGTTGGCGTAAAAATAGAATGAGATAAAGTTCGTGGTAGGTAAACCAAAACTAAAAATTATTTTATGAAGTAAATATTATTCTCAACTATTTTGATAGATGCAGACTAATTGATTGTGGTCTACCAAGTAGACATCATTTAAAGTTTGATATACTGGATAAAACAGCTGAAAATCATTCACAATGATTTACATGCATATTGTCTTTATCATCTCCAACATGATGTGTTTCAAACTGTTTTCTATCCTTTATTTAAAAGACTAATCTATTGAACGAAGAATATTCTTTTCGATAAATTCTTTATTCAGATTTTACAATTATATATATCCAAATTATTAATCCGAAAAAATGATCAGGTTAAACGCAAAGTACATCAATTAAAGCATGTAGTTTTAGGAATGTCAAACCAAATAGAATAAAACTTTTAATATTAATGTGACTCATATAGAATGTTAACTTTTGAATCTGTATATATGTAAAGTGAAAATTTAAGATCTGTGATCCGAATAAATATAGGTCAGATAGGGTGAGAGAGATATGATAGTGCAATTACAATTCTATCAAGTGAAAGAATAAATTGTGTGAAAAATTACTAATTTTCACTGTTGAAATCATGAGTCAATTGAAGCTAGACCACCATGGACAACCTGGAAGCACTGGATGGCCGTTTCGTCCTATTGTGGGACTCCTCAGCAGTGCGCATCCATGATCCTGCCCCACGAGACTCGAACCGAGGAATTATCAGTCTCGTGCTCGATCGCTTAACCACTAAACTACTCAGCCGACCGGCATCCAATGATGTTATTATCTTATTTCACCCAATCCACGAAATTGTGCAACAATTCTTCAATGTCTTCAGTGAGTTTATATCTCTACAACAGACGTGGTTGAACTCCACTGAACACTGCTTCCCACTAGAACTGCAGTACATATATGTTGAAGTCAGTCACTAGTGAGCATATGATTGTAGATCAGATAGGGTTTTGTGGAGAATTTAGTATTTTCATTGTTGAAATCATGAGACAATTAAAGATAGACCACCATGTAAAACTTGGAAGCACTGGCCGGCCTTTTCGTCCTATTGTTGGACTCCTCAGCAGTGCGCATCCACGATCCCGCACTCGAACTACGACGTAACAAGGAGGGATCAATGCGAAGTGAATGAATCATGTTTAGGGGTGATTAATAATAATGCTTAACCGATAATAATAATAATAATAAAATGCAAAGATTTATGAATAAAGATAAGAGAGACAATTACATTTGACTATGAAAGGTCGTAAGTACATAGTCAAATTAGGTTATGTTATCGCCAAGATTACTATTGATTAACTGGCCTTATAGTTTGCCAAGACATGAGCAAGAGTTCTGTATAGGTAATCTTTTATAGGTAATCATGACTACTAATTCATCATTTATTCTGATAATTTCATCTCATTTTAATGGGTAAGGTATGGTTATATCAACTGATGACCTATTTGTATTAGGTTTAACATTGTTTTTGACTGTTTGACTAAACTATACCTATATATATATATACATCTATTTACTCATTTTCTTTTTATCTTATTATAGATTTAGTGGTTCATTATGTGGTCTAGTATATATGTTTACATTACCTCCATTAATTTATCTACTTAATAAACGTACATTAACTCGTTTACATAATGAAGGACATATTAATATATCTCAAATACATTCAGAAAAATTACTAAATGGCAATCATCATCATCATCATCTAAATAGAATGGGTATTCATAAATCACCTATAGATGATCATATACCATTTAATGAATTACAATTAGATAATCGTAGTGATACATTATCAATAATTAAAATTAAATTATTATCTGAACATGATACATTAAAATGGTTGTTTATTATATTTATACATATATTCATTATGTTATTAGGTTTATTAAATTTTATTGGACAATTTTCTGTATTTTTTTATTAAAACACACACACACACGTGCACATGGATACGCACAAAAGGATAAAATATTCCCTAATGTTGAATCATTTCATTCATTATGGAATAATTTGCCCCATCTTCTTATTACATTACACAGTTCCACAAACACATACATACACACACACACGCATATGGATATGCACAAAGGGGTAAAATACTCCCTAGTTTTTAATCATTTCATTCGTTATACAATAATTGCCCCCACCCACCCCCTATTACATTACACAGTTACTATATACCATTTTTAATCACTGATAAGTATAAAAGAATAATAATAATAATAATTGAATTCAAATTAATTAAATAATGAATTCATATTTAGTCAATTAAATTGATTCATTTAAATTAGTCAATCATTCTACTTTATCAAATGATATATCCTATAAAATTTACTTATTATACGTTTTACTACTTAATTTATAATAAAGTAGGATAATAATTTATAAAGAAAAAACGAAAACTTTTCTTTTTTGATATATTTATACATTTATCTATGTATCTGTGTAGATTAGGTGCTTCTTTTCTTTTTTTAAACATTCAAATTATATTCTGTAATTAGTAAACTGATTGAAAAAACCCCCTTCCCCCTCTTTTTTTTTGTAAAAAAAACTATAATCAGTTGTTAAAATTTTTTATTGGACAATTTTCATTATTCCTTTTTTTGTTGTATTTTCTAATCCTAATAATCTTTTATATTTTTCTTTTTAAGAGAAAAATTTTCTTGTTTTATTTTAATTTATCGATTTGTTTAAATCTTTAATTTAGAATTCTTGGTAACATTTTTGGATTGAAAAAAAAACTTGTTGAAAAAATCTAACATGAAAAGTATAGTTTTTTTCTTCTTCTCATTAGTTGGTGTGAATACTTTCTTATTTTCATAGTTGAAGTCATGAGTCAATTGTAGGTAGACAACTATGGAAGATCTGGAAGCACTGCACTGCCGTTTCGTACTATTTGGGGCTCCTCAACAATGCGCGTCCACGATCCCGCAATCGCGAGATTTGAACCCATGACCGACCAGTCTCGTGCCAGAGTACTAAACCGATAGACCAACGAGCTGGCCGGCATCCAACGATGGTAATGTCTAACTTCAACCAACTTTCTTATTATCAAATATACCAGCAGTTGAATACGTCAATAGCATAGGAAGTTTCTGGAAAGTGTTGACTATTATTGATATCACAAATGGATCTGTATTTGACAACCAATTAAAATCAAGAAGGATTAAATAGCTTTTTCGTCTTCGTATATCAGTTAGTCAGTCAGGTACAACGTAGGATCAGGTACATATATGCATCGGTCCAAGCTGCAACACCTCATTAACAATACAAGATGAATACCAGATTCGTAGAAGTAGTTAATTTAGTGGTGGTAATATATAAAAGAAAGGTTGTATATAAGGATACAGTATAGGAAGAAAGAAAGTTATGAAGCAATTTTAATCTCAAGGTTTAAGGGAAGATAAAGAGTGTATACACCTACGGCATTGTGATTGATTCTGAGCCATGCCAACCAGAGTTTCCAACCATTGGTTACAAAAGTCACGCGGACCCCAACGAAGTAGTCTGCATCTGCCAACATGGCTCAGACTAGAAGTTAGTGACTTCATGCTTTGGTGCCACTTTTTGGTTTGGCCGTCCCTAACTCTCTTCTAACCATCCCCAATAATAGACAACATAGGGTGTCGTGGTAACCGTTATTCAGGCATACGTATCACGTGGCCCAACCATCTCAGTCAATGAAGATTCATGACCACATCGACTGATTTACCATCATTCCCTAATACCCTGTGTCTAACCTCACTATTAGTTACTTGGTGATCCCAGCCGATGCTAGCAATATTTCTAAGGCATCTGTGGTTAAATACTAGTAGCTTACGAATAGTATGTGGGTATTTATGATCCCAGTGAGGATTGCGAATGCTGATAATTATCATGTTGTTACTGGAAACAATTTTAAGAGTTTTTTTGAGAGACTAACACGTTGAGTTTGACCGTATTGGTTTGATTCAGTTATTTACTGAAAAAAACAAGATATTTGCTCGGTATGATGATTTGACTGAAGTTAGATATGTAAGCTTTGGGACGATGAAACAGTGATGTAAATAGTAAGTGTCCATCAAGAAACCTGAAGGTACTGGACTTGTAACCAAAGTCAACACTGATGTGGTACAGTGTCACACAAAGATGGGACAGCCCTCCTGGTTTTCACTGGTTATTTAACTTAGTTGTTTCGACGTTTTAATAAAACACACTGTCAGATGAATGGATATTCATTGAAAGTGATTCAATTCTATACTGAATAGGTTCATGCAACCTTTTCGATCATTCTAACTTTGGTGTTCAGTATATGAACAATGAACGTATTTGAATATGATTCTAACTAATTATCCAGTTGATATCGCATTCATTCAATCTAGTAGTTTGCATTTCAGTACAATTTATAGTAATACATTTTCATTCCTTTGTAAAACAAATTATCCACTCGGAAAGGAGGTTTGTGGATATTATAGTAATGTAATATTTGAATTCATGAGTCAATTGAAACTAAACCGCCATGAAAAACCTGTAAGCACTGAACAGTCATTTCATCCTAGTATGGGACTCCTCAACAGTGCGCATCCACGAATTCGCTAGCAGGATTTGAACCAAAGACCTAAATTAACCACTACTAATGAAACTTATTGCATCAAAAATTATACTGACAGAGACTAATCGAAATGTTTCGTATAAATCAACTCCTTCCATGGATTCCTTAATAGGTAATACAGATGCTTCTTTGAAGAGGCCACTTTAAGTGCTTTTCACGGTGAGACTTCAGTAACTGACAACCAACATTTGTTAGTATGCGTTGAATAATTCAGCTAAATGAAATCTCGATAGAAGTTTGAATGTGTACAAATCTTAAGAAATCAGGACTGTTATTTCGATTCTATCTATTATTCTTCATCCATCGACTTCATACAGAGTTACATAATTGGTTAATGGCCTTTTCATATTCAGCTTATTCACCATTGAAATAAACAATATGACAATAGTTGTTAAAATGAATATATGTAATCATTAATCATAATAGTGTAATGTTCACAATTCATTATTCAATGATTTCTAAATGATATTCATCATTGAACTGTTTTAATTACACACACACACACACAATTTACATAATTACTGTTGTCTCATCCACAGTGTGCTTTCTTAAATAAATGTAGGTTTATAATTTCAAAGTTGAAATCATGAATCAATTGAAGCTAGACCACCATGGAAAACCTGGAAGCACTGGACAGCCGTTTCGTCCTATTATGGGACTCCTCAGCAGTGCGCATCCACGAACCCGCTCTCGCAAGCGAGATTCGAACCCAGGACCCACCAGTTACGAGCCAGAGCCCTTAACCGATAGACCACTGAGCTGGCGTCCAACGTTGTTAATGTCTAACTTCAACTGATCCACGAATTATGAGCGACACTTCACCAATTGCCTTGAGTGAGTTGTTATCTCACAACAGACGTGGTTGAACTCCACTGGTCACTGCTTCCCACTAGAACTCCAGGACATGTAGGTTTATAAGTTGAAAAATTCTTCATTATTTACAAATGGGCATTCACAGAATCAGCACAATAGACAAGGGATTATATATCATCAAGTTTGTATAGAATAATTAGAATAAAGCTAACAGTAACACTCTCTAACTGTTTTATATAAACCTCAGTCAGAATACTACATGGAGGTAATCTGTACAACATGCACACTTTGTAACTAAGACTGATAGAAATTCAGTCAAAGTATAAACACAAAAGTAATCTAAAGTATTAGAAATTATGTACTGTTATTTCATACTTCAATGAATGACGTTTCTTGCCCAGAGGTTTAGAGGCCCCCAAATGCTCTGGTACGGTCGAGAGTGGGAAGAGTCCGATCTCCCTCTTCAAATGCTCACACATGGCCGATGTGAGCAATATTTCTAAAACATCTGTGGTCAAATTGAGAAAAAACACAATGCGTTCCTTGATAAATTCACATAGTTTTAAAATGCACAATAAACAGAATTATCAACTGCTAGTGAGTGTACTCTATAATAATTTGAAATGATAGTGCATTTATCTTGAATAGAGACAATAAGTAATTGAAGTAGAGTAATATGAAGATGAATTATTTGAAATTATTAAAGTGTATAAGCATAGTTCATAAAGGATAATGTTGTGTTCAGATATTATGATCTGTTTAATTAATAACTTCTAGTAAAGATTTGATGGAACTGGAGAAAAATCCTTAAGAAATACACAAATAGTTGAGAATAGATTGCTGAGATATAGGAAAAAATAAAATAATTCTTCACAATGAGATCAAGAGTTACAATAATGACCAAAGTAGAGATAATGTCAGAATAACCGTTGACTTATTGTGTTGATAAAAACAGAGAATGTTTCCGGTCTTAGATGCATTTCAATCTTTCATTCACTCTCAGATGTACTGATGTAATCAATTTTAGGAAAACGTGAAATACTAAAGTAGCTATATAGTTTGACTACTGAAGACTTTCATGAACTATGAACTATAGAAAACAAGATAGATCAAGAGTATAACTATAAAGAGTAAGCAAAGATGGATAGTGGCTTGCAGTGAAATCCAAGACGCGCGTTTTGGCCTATATGGGACTCGTCAGCTGGATGTACCTGCATCTCAGGGTTGATGTTCACTCTGGTACTCTGAGATGCAGGTACATCTAGCTGACGAGTCCCAAATAGTATGAAACGCGCGTCAAACTGAATTCCACTGCAAGCCACTATCCATCTTTGCTTACAATTATTATGAATTAAGGCTATATCGAGGCAATACGTACAGTATGCATATATGCCAATTAGAGACTGACCAGTTGCAGTCGTAAACATCAATGGGAAGATCCAAACAAACCATCCTAAATGAAACTATAAAGAGAGTGTTTCGAAAAGAATGAATTTAAAGTAAAATTAAACGTTGATTGTTACTATTTGTGTATTTAACGGAACTTTAGTAAAAAAGAATGATATGAGTAGCGTTCTCCCGAATAACCTTGTTATCAAAATAAATATTCTAAATGTAGAGTTTATGTTAAGTATAGAATGTTTCGAAATTCAGAAGAAATGGTTACATTTTAGACGGATGAGCGCCTAAACAAATCCTGTTATTCATCTTGGACTATATATATGAACTTTCGGGAGGGCTTGGATTGAATCAGTCTTATGAAAGGTTTGTTAGGTATGTTTTATAAAAGATGAGTTAGGCATTTAATATTATATGTTCTCTTTATTCATATTCAACATAAAGTTGTGCTTGAATTTTACTACAACTGATATTTCAAGATAACTAAAGTAATGTAATGCATTACTTACTTACTTACGCATGTTACTCCCAATGGAGCATAGACCGCCGACCAGCATTCTCCAACCCACTCTATAATCGGCCTTCCTTTCTAGTTCTATCAGGTTTTTGTTCATTTTTCTCATGTCTGTCTCTATTTCTCGGCGTAATGTGCTCTTTGGTCTTTCTAATTTCCTTTGGCATTCATGATTCCATATTAGGGCTTGTCTTGTGACGCAATTAGGTGATTTCCTCAAAATGTGCCCAATCAACTTTCAACGCTTCTTCCTGATTTCTTACTCCGCTGGAAGAGGAGGAAACGCTAACCACAAAACTTAATGCATTATATTGTTCAAAATCTGATAATATTAAAAATCTTCCTTTTCAATACAATATAATGTTGCTCGTTTATACCTATTAAGTTTATACCAAAACTATAATAGAAAAACTAAGGTAATTCTATGATCGAAGAACATCTATAGTGTTGAAAATGTCATATTAAGACCCACTTCATTAACTCATTGTTCTTCTTGAAAGATTCTCAATTCTCTATAGAAGAATTCTTGTTATAATTAGAGTGAATGATATCTTGGTACACAATGTGTATTGAATGGTTGACTTTTGAATGTTCTTACATTCAAATATATCTAAAGGTCGAAATGTAAACTTTAATCGAACTATTTATAAAAGGAGGTTTAAACACTATAAGCAAAGATGGATAGTGGCTAGCAGTGGAATCCAGGACGCGATTTCGACCTATTTAAGGTTTAAACACTGTTTTTTTTTAAATTGCAACACTGAGTGTTATTGTTTATGTGAGTGTCGTAAAGAGAAACATCTTAACCGATTGATCACTTAAAGGTTGATTATATCGACTTATTACATAGTATTGTAGTGAGCGAGAATACAAAATTACAGAATCTGAAAGGGTTTTGTGGAGATTTAAGTATTTTTAATAGTTCAAATCATGAATCAATTAGAGCTAAACCATCATAGGAAATATAGAAGCACTGGACGGCAGTTTCATCCTATTAT